TTGGGCAAGGGGGTGTGAAGAAATGTATAGATTGATAGGCAACACAGCCAACGTTGATTCGATGGCGGTGGGAAGCCTCATTCTCGAAACGCCTAGCGACAAAGATGAGGCCAGGATGGGGATGAGCAACTTTGCCCAAAAGCCCATTCTTCAATTTTACGAGAAGTGGAAATAATCGTCGAAATACCGTTATTGAATTTCGATATCTTGCGACTTGCGTCCCTGTCGAACCATGTTGAATTTCTGTTGGGAGGCAGGGGCAGGAGTGCTGCGCTGAGTGAGGATCGAATGGGCTCCCTTCTCCCCGCAGCCAATCTCGCCAGGTTCCGTGATCCGACCCGGCCTCTTGGAATCTTTGTTGAACGGAGAGGTTTCATCTGGTCGTTCTGGAAAATGGGCCTATCCCAAAATGCCGCTAGATGAACTATGGCTGGGGGGCGCGGAGATACTCGGGCCAGGTGGAGGTAAGTCGGCTCATCGATTGACCACTTGTGATGGAGTGGCCTGATTTTTGGGAAGCGGCTCAGCGTTCCCCAGCATCGCACAACTCACCGACACCGAGAAACGCGAGAGCTCTCGAGGCTCCTTCATTTTCTGCACCTTTCGAGCTGCGGCGCAAGGGCAAGGTAGCAAGATTACACGGCATGGAAATCGTCGCACGCCTTCTCCACTCTTCTCCTCTCACCCATTGGGAAATATCGGTGTGGGGGAGAGAATAGGAGGGTGTATCATTCATCGTGTTCGGTCTCAGCGCGCGGCTCCCAACAATCCCACAAATGTTCACAAGGGAACAAGAGACAACGGTGCGTTGTTTGAAGATTCATTTGGCACGGAGTAATCCTCGGACCCTGTTGTGCCAAGTTTACTTCCTCAAACCCTCTTGGGGTTGTGTGGTGCAAGTGGCAAAGTGCTGGAAGAGAAGGAAGGGGTGAGGGGGTGTGTGGATCTTAGGCCGGATATACGCTTCACAAGGGTCGACTGATGTATTCCGTTCCTTAACGACTTCAATAAAGATCTTTGATTATCGGGGGTATCAATTGACTGATCAATTGGATTGTTTAGAAAACTTTAGGATCGGAGGCAGGCTCGAGCTAAGTAGAGCCGCAAAACGTCACGGGGCTGCCAAGGAGTGGACAAGGAATTCCAAGCCAGAAAAGAATCGAAAATTAAAAAGGAGCAACTTGAAGAGGGGAAGGCCAAAGTCAGGTGAGCTTGAAAGGCTGTCTGTTGAAGATCCCTTTCCCGGGGCGCGAGCGGAAAGCATACGATGTCCGTTTTAAACTCTACGAATGAGAAAACTACCGATGTTCCCCAGACTCCTTTTAGAGGGGCAATGAAAAGGGGAAGGCAAACGGACAGATCTACCAGTGTAAAAGAAGTACATGTGTACACAAGTAGCTCATCGTACAGTGAAAACTAAACTGTCTTCCCCAATCCTTCTCGATGGTTTGGACGACACATGGCTGGCGGCAGATTATCAATCTATCCTCAATGAGACAGGGGGTGTATTCTTATTCTTGTCTGTAATACAGCGAGAAAGCTGAGGCCAGCAGAGAGTGTCGACTTGACGGCCGAGCACGCTCACCCCCGACAAAGAGCAAGTTGCAGAGAGCCAATTTCGACTTGGCCTGGGGTCTCTTGGCTAAAAGGCGCCCCTGATTATCTTTCTCTCTCTTGCCTCTGAAAGGGGATGAAGGACCTCGGGAGACGCGCAACCCTCATCTAATAGCAGAGGCAATAATAAAAGCGGGCTTTCATGCCACATGCATGGATGGACCCGGAGAACGGCACTCCATCTCCCCGTTCTTTTATGTGGGCGTGCATGGCGTGTTGTGTGTGTGTATCTGTATCTGTGGGTTTTTGTGGGCGCGCGTCCGAGTGCGTGTGCCTCTAGGGTTTGTCTCACAAACTCCTCCTGGACCTTGGGGTGAGTAGACGAGGCCAGAGGGAACGGGGGAGAGGGAAGTGTGGATTTGATGGATAAGGGGATCTTGGTTTTCGTTTCTCGGCTTGGACGTCGGCTCAGTTCGGCATGTGAGGGGCTTCTGGATATTTGGTCGCTAACTTCCGTTTTCCTTTTACTTGACCCAGGACGAGAACCCGCGCTGACGTCCGCTCACTTGTGGGTGGAACCGCTCGGGGACCCGGAGTTCTTCAGCCGAGAAATTAGAGGTGCAGCAAGCTCGCCAGGGTTGGTTGAAACGGTGACAGCGGTTCCCACCAAGTTCGGTCGAAAAACGTTTTTGGCTTGCCCAACAACACCTTGATTTTCCGACATCAATCCCAAAGAATGATGATTCATTGCAGACCGCATTGAAGTACAATGGACGCCGTCAATTCTTTGACGCCAGCCAACCCTCTGTGTGAGTGAGCGCCTGAGTCTGACTCGCACACTGGTGCTTGCGAAGATTCGCAACCACCAAGTTATGTTGAAGTCTGATGAAGCAGGTGGCATTCAGTTATCATGTGTTTGCATAGTACGAAGTATATGGCGGGAGGAAGCAGATTGAACGACGGGAGGCGAGGGATGAAGCTAATCCGTAATCTTTGTTCTTCTGTCCTTGGTTTCTTCCCTTGCAGTATTGCTTTGGAGCTGCCAATGATTGACGTCGAAGTCTCTTTCTCTGTCTCTTTCTTTTTCCTTCCTCTGCCCTGCAGAAGAGGGTCATGCCTCAGACTTGCATCGGCACGGGTCCCCACAGCGCCCTTGGACACGGCCCGGAATTTTGCCTGACACTAAGCCTATCTACTTTTGTCCAGCATCAGAGACGAATTTCAAGTAATGAGCGTCTAGTGTACATGAGGCTATGCGAAGGAGGAGACATAGTGGAGGGCAAGAGAACAAGAGCAAAAAAACGGATCATCAATGCGAGTGCACGGGGAGTCACGGGGAGTTGAGGGGATGAACGTTCCGCAGCGTACCACCAACGAAATCCCGTTGAAGCCCGGCGCACCCCCTCCAGCACCGGTAACAGCACGGCCAACGTGAGCAACAGCACTAGCAAGCCCGAGGAAGGAAAAACAAGGATAGACCCGTGATTTCATTTCTCTCCTCCTTTGGCTGGTTCCCGTTCAAAAAGAACACGCCCCGGCCTTGGGTGTTGGGCTTGCGCTTATCAGATCAAACGGCACACAGTGCGCGCCCCATTGCCTCTGCGTCCTCGACTAGGCTTTTCGGGGAGCGTCGAGCCTTTTCCGCTCCTCGGTCTCCTTTCCCTTTTTCTTTCTTTTTTGAGGCTGGGCCTCAACCTGTCCACCCCTCCCCTCGCCCTGGCTCCCCGATGTCCCCATCTGCCATCTGCTGAATCGTAGACACGACAAGAGTTTGCGGTCTGTGAATCTCAACATCCTTCGTCTCGAAACGATCAAATCAGAGCAAGGGTGAGGTACTCGTGACCAGAAGGTTGAACGCTCTTGGGGACAGATGAGCAGAGAAAACTCAGAGGCAAGAATAGCCGGAAGACCAAGCCCGCTGGTGGAATGACCCACCACTTAGTGGCCTTGGGATTAGAAGGATCTTCAAAGCGACAAACGGTCTCCATTTTAGGGCCCTTTTGCCTCGACCCGGCTCAAAAATAAAACCTATAAAAGCAAGAAGGAGAGGGCATGATAAGAAACCCTTGAAGGGATCAATTGGGAAAATGGCCAAGAGATCAAGCCCTCGCAGGGAGCCGAATTAGCTGAGATAAAAACCAATCTGATATGCGTATCCATGTAATAGTTATTGGCACCTCGATAATTGCTTTGGGCAAAACGGAAACATTGAGATCACCGGTGGTGCGCCAAGAGAAGAAAGGGAAAGAAGAATCCAAGGGAACATAAGCGTCGATCTTTTCTGAGGAATGTGCCTCTTGCTGGTGTCTGTCTCGTTGTCATCAAGGGCTTCCGCTGCATAATGCGAGTCTAATTGGGCTCGTCGGTGTTCTAGTGGCCCACAAAGAGCGCAAGCAATTACCACATCCCTGGTAAGCCGTTATCAAATCCCTCGACGACTCAGCGTCGGGCGCAAGCAATTATTCGGACGAGCTGCACCGTATTGACGCACCAGCGACTTCCAATGCCGTCGAGTTACCTCGGAGAGAAAGTTTGTAGTGACCCTAGTTCCCCTTCTTGCCAAGGCGACCCACCCCTCCCCTCCCCCTGGTCAGAGCCCCCTTGACATTGGATCAAAGTCCAGGAAGGTGACCGAACACGATGCCGGACGGCACTTCCGCGGGCTGAGGAGTGGAAACTTACAAGTAGGCACTGTATATTTCCACGCACTGTGGAATAGGAAGTACCTTTCTCAGTCCTGCTCCAGTGTCCCAAGGCAAAACTGAGCTGTGGGTCAGTTTACCTGTGGAGACGGCAGGACGGAGGAGGGTGGATGGAGAGACATGAGAAAAAAACGGAGTGGGCCCTGCGCGCCACTAGCCGGTTCTAATCCATCAGATAAACCGCAATGCCCTTTATTCACTAGAAGTCGTCACTTATTGGAAAAAGGACCCCATCCATCGACTGTCACTCAACAATTCGTTCCTCTTTTTCGCCTCTTAAACATCCACACTCCCTCATTCTCGATTCCGACCTTATCTCTCTCCCCCTTTCTTCTTTTACGCCTCCTTGACTTTTTCCCTACATTTGTGCGGTTTCCTTCTTGAACCCTCGAAGCATCCTCCAGTCGAGATCCCGGGGAAGGATTCGTCCCGTCATGCACTTATCGATCGCCACTCTCTAATCCGAAAAAAATTCCTCGCGTCGTGGATCGAAAGATAAAGTCGACAATCGTTGCCGCCCTGCTCTCCACATACATTACCTAGGCGCCTTTCTCGCGGAGAATCGTTTCCGTGTAGCTCCTTAGCCCTCGATACCCTCCTTTGCCCCTTTTTCCGCACGACCTACGCAGCGTGAGGGATTCTTTCTAATCCCCCACTTCCTGCTCATCTGTTCTTTTCTCTCACGTTCCACGACCCGTTTTTCTTCCCTCCCCCCTCCCCTACTCCTTTCCGACCCAGACAAGAATGTCCACCGAAATCATGGACGCGCTTTTCGCGCCCACTGCCGAGCAGATCAACGACCACCTCAAAGCGAACCAATTGACCGTCCCTACGGCGCCCTCAGTAGCACCCTCGCTTACCTACTCCGATGACTCTGACGATCAGGAAGAGGAGGTGATCAAGCCCGAACCCCGCCGACGCCGAAGGGCCTCGACCCGTCTGATCGCTAGTAGCGCCGCAGATGTCCAAAGAATTACGGGCGAGACCACAGCTCAGATTATCACTAGGTGTTGCGGTGGTGGCTGCTGTCTTAGTCTAAACTCCCGCCAGGATGGTCTTCAGTATGAGCGCATCACCCTCCCCGACAATGACGCTTTCCGGTCTCTCAACCTCAAGGTCGACGGTGTCATCCCCACCACCCTCTCCAATGTGGTTGAGATGCCCGACCAGACGGTTTTCATCGAGCCTCTCAAGGCCCCCAGTGCAATTGAGAAAGCATCGACCCCGACCCCCACCCCTTCGTCCCCTGCCGCCGAGTCGGTCGACTCCTTCTCCACCGTGGTTGGCTCTATACCGAGCGAGGAGTCTAGCTTCAAGACTGAAGAAGAGGCGCAAACCCCCATCACGACTGCTCCCTCCTCCCCGGTCATGGCCCCCTGAAGCTGGAGGACCTCGACACATCTATCCAACCCCCAGCTTCGTGCAACCCCACCCTCCTTACAACGTTTACGCGGCCCGCCTCCACGATGCGCGCGAGTTGACCAGGCCCGGCGCCGAGAAGCGCACTTACCACTTCGACATCGACGTCACCGATTACCCTCCCGAGACCGGCATCGACTTCAAGGTTGGCGGCGCTATTGGCGTCATGGCCCCCAACGCCTCTCCCATCGTCGAGGAGGTGCTCGATTGTCTTCTCGTCCCCCGGTTCCAGCGTAACAAGCCCATCCTTCTCAAGACCACCCAGGGACGATGGCCCACCGTCTGGGGCGAGGAGCAGGCACGCGAGCTGGTCACCACTCGCCGCGACCTTCTCACTTGGTGCGCCGATATTCAGTCGTACCCGCCCAACAAGCCTTTGCTACGCGTTCTCGCCGAGCACGCCGACGACGAGAACGAGCGCAAGCTTCTCCTCTTCCTCTGCGCCGCCGAGGGCCAATCGGTTTTCTGCGACTTCCGAACCGGGCCCCATGTGTCGATCTCCCAGCTCCTCCATGCTTTCCCCAGCTCCCACCCTCCCCTTGACGTCCTCCTTTCCGTGCTCCAGCAGCTCATGCCCCGCTTCTACTCCCTCTCCAACGACCCTCACCAGTCCAACATTGGCGAGGGCAGCGAGAGCAAGTCGCGCCGCCTCATCGAGATTGCCGTAACCGTCCACGAGGCCGACGACTGGAAGCTCGGCAGCCGGACGGGTGTTGGTTCCGGCTTCTTCGAGCGCCAGGCGCGCAAGTTCCTCGAGGCCAAGGCTGCTGGCTTGACGCCCGAGATCCACGTGCCCGTGTTCAAGGGCCTCATGGCCAACCCCTCGCGACCCAATTCATCGCCGATGGGCCCATGATCCTCATCGGTGCCGGCGTCGGAATCGCGCCTTTCCGCGGCTTCGTCCAGCGCCGCCTAAAGACGGCCAACTGCGCCAACAAGGTCTGGGTCATCCAGGGCATCCGGGACTCGCTCGTCGACGAGATCTACAGCGGCGAGTGGGGCATCCACGAGGACGAGGTCAAGAAGATTGTCGAGAGCCGCCGCGGCGAGGGCCGCTACGTCCAGGAGGAGGTGCGCCACCAGGCCGAGCTCGTCTGGAAGGTGATCAACTCGGTCGATGGTAGAATCTTCGTCTGCGGTAGTTCCAGGGGCATGGGCGAGGGCGTGGAGGAGGCTCTCGTCGAGGTCGCCATGAAAATGGGCAATCTCGAACGGGAGGAGGCTCGCAAGCTTTGGAACCTCAAGAAGGAGGCTGGCCAGTACATTGCCGAGACCTGGTAATCGAACAAAGCAACTCGTCGTCCTACGTCCCACATGCCGCAACCTTCATCGTATGCGCACGAGGGCCTCACCCGGCAACAAGGATCTCTCTTGACCGCCTCATTACTCTTCATCCATGTCATTTTATTCACCATTACCACTTTTCCCGGGACCACCTCTTCCTCAACCACCTCTTCCTCAACCACCTTTCCCGCCATGATCCCTCTACCTTTCTCCTTTTCATTGTCTCATTTCTTTACATTCCCAAAATTCATAGCCGCGCACACGGGTAACTACTCTTGTTTTTTTTTCCCTCGGCGTTTCACGGGCTTAAAGAGGGGGCATATCAAGACTTTTTTTTTTCTATCGTTTACTCTTAAAAGGAGCAGCTTGCGGAAAGCGAAGGATGACGGAGGAAAAACGCGGATAGACATTTGGGCAACAGCAGCATGGTTCGTGCTGCGGGCCGCCCCTCCATTTTCTCACTTTCGGTTTTACTCCTATTAGATGCTTTTCCTTTCTAAACCATGACCCCTCTTGGGGGCCTTTTTGACAATGATGTTTGTCCACTTCTTTTTCTGTAGACGAGAGTCTCCATCTCTCTTGCCATCTTCCTGGTAACAATTTCAAAGATATGATTAAACAAATCGACCCCATTGCTAGCGCTCTCTCTTGTGCCTGGTGTGAGTAGTAGTCACTTGTCACATGATGCTCTTTATTTCAGCGTCGCAAATTGAAGACCGCCAGTGGTTTGTCTCACGCCTGTAGGTCTTTTTTTTGTCGAATAGAACGGGGCATGCGCTGCTTGCATGGCAGGTGCGTGTCTTGTGCCACCCGAGCGAGGGTGAGGCTCTTCCGCCGGGCGGACTTGTCTTCCGAAAGGGAGGGGAGGGATGGGGCCGGCTTGCAGCGAGGGTTCATTCCAGTACATACAGTCTTCAAGGTAGGGTTGCGTCACATGGGCGATGGCGGGGTAACTCCGATCACGGCTCGGGACTTGGGTGTGTGTGTGTTTTTTTTTTGCTCTCTCGAGACTTGGAGGGGTAACAATTCCGAGGGGCGGATTTACGGGAGAAGCATCAATCGCCCCTCAACTGAGAACACAGAGCCTACTCCCCTCTATTTTTTTCTCTCTCTCTCTTCTCTCAAAAACGCAATGAGGGCCCGCAGTAAAGCAGGCGATTCACGCATGTCTTTTGAAACAGCGTTCCTGTCTATTGATACACGATGGGCTTGGCTGTCGAGGGCAAAAAAGGAAACCTGAATCAAATAATTCATATCTAGTCTCGACTCAGCATGGGAAGGGAAGACCTGAGGTAGGATAGACTCGTCTCAGTGCGTGGGCCTCGGAAGAGAAAGAGCGAGGAGGCTGGGGGAACCCTGAGAAGGATGGAGGAGGAGGGTGGTGCGGGAGGGGAAGGGTTCGGGATTTCGTCTTCTTCAAGCCCACTACATGTATGCAGGCACGAGGATGAAGGGAGCTAGCGGCGGCGGGTGTGATTTGGGATTGATGTTTCCCTTCCTTCTTCTCTTCTTTTTGGGTCCCGATGGGATTGATCGCCATTTAAGGTGCTTATTTTTTGCACCCTAGTCCGCTCCTTCGAAGAATTGTCCCGATAATCGACAAATGTTGCAATCTGGAATTGATGTCAAGGCTGGCAGGCTGCTATCATTTTCCTTTCTTTCTTTCTTCTTTTTATTTATTTGTGTTTTCATGGCCACAATCCAACGGATTTGAACGATGTCGCCAAACTCGCCCCGGCAGCTTTCCCGACCTGTGGCGGGGTGATAACACCGGCGCAAACAAATCTGATAGGGAATGGGCGGGGAGATGGCGCTTGATGGCCATCAATGCACTAGTACAATGATGCCATCCTGTCCTGAGAGGTTGGTCTCGACTTTTCGTAGCGCGGAACAATGGGAAGATCCGTCTTCCCGAAACGGATACTAGAATGATCGAGAAAACAGAGTTATGTGTTGGGGACCTTTTTTCGATTGACTCGGTCTTTTTCATTTTTGTTCTTTCGAGATGTCCCTTGTCAACTCGCTTGATCAATGTAATCTCGGGGAGGTGACTTTTAAAGTTTCCCAGACATGACCTATTAGCTCTGCGACAACAAGAACATGCCCGTGTTGTGATGTAAATGGCAGATGAGATCGGACAAGCTGGACGGACTTCGGACCATTCCACTCATCCACCTAGCATTAGTTAGTTTCTCGCTTTTGATAAGACACAGCTCGATTCTTTGAATCAAGGGGAAGCAGGGACGAGGCACCAAGCAAACATGAAGCCACTCGTAAGGATCGTCGGGCTTCAAAGCTTTCACCTTTGCTTATCATTACTCAAGAAACCCGGACGGAAATGCCTAGCTACACTTTGCAGCGTCGAGATTTGTGATGGCTCTCCGGCACAACGGGGCTCAATCGAAGTTGCAACCCTGTGATTTGCGTGCCCACCCCACCAAGCCCACTTATCAGATCGGCCCCACTGGGAAGAAATGATTCGGTGTCAGGATTACGGATGATTACCCAAGCACCACACACCAGCTCGAACCGGCATTACAAATTTGCAACCATCGATGAGGTGAGGCACGGGGAAGAATGATTGTTGGAAACATCCATCCATTCAATGTTAGCAATATCCACGTTGGCGTGCGATTTTGATTTCACATTCCTTACCTCAGCGGTATCACCCCCACCACCAACCAGCTCGGTGTAACCGCCCATTCGTTTTTCGATGGCGTTCTCTTGTCCCCTTACTGATCCAAAGTAATCCCGCCTGTCACAGGCACACCATCCCCTTGCCTCATAGTTCCCGACCGCTTGCGAAATTTTTTTTGCGCGCTGTAAGTTATTGGAGGGGCTTGATGATCTCACCCCCGCGGATTGCGCCTTTCCCACCTTCCTTCCCCTTTCGGCTCACAGCTCCCGAACATGTAAGTCCGCAGTTAGTAATTGTCGCCATTTGAGTCCCTTGACCAGGCCCAACGGTTTTCCAATCCATTATGCGATTGCTTCGCTTACACGTGAATGTGATTATGGGCTGCTGAGCCAACACCCACCTGAAAGTGGTCGACGTACCTTTTGTTTTTTTATTCCCCGTTCTGCTGGTGGTGGAGTACCGATCAATCAATTAATCGACTCTTGGTTTCACTCCAGGCTAAGGTGGAGAAGAAGGGTGGACGGATGGAGACGGAAGGAGGGGGCGAGAGTATCGCATCCGAAAATACTTTGTAGCGCCATCGGCACATATATATGTAGCTTCACTTCCCTTCCTCTTTTACTTTCCTGTCTCTCTCTCTCCTCATCATCAGCAATACAAAAGGCAAAACCCCTTCTACTCCTCATCGAGCTACCCCATTCATCTTTCGACTTTCACCTTTTGAACCACCAAAGCCACCTACCTCCCTTCCTCCCCCAAACTCAAATCTAACCTACCGTCGCAATGGCCGCCACTCTTCTCAAGCTCATCAAGGACCGCCGCTCCTACTACCCCCTCTCCAAGGACCTCCCCATCCCCGCCTCCCGCATCGAGGAGATCCTCGGCCAGCTCATCACCGATGTCCCCTCCTCCTTCAACTCCCAGTCCAACCGCGCCGTTCTCCTCCTCGGCGCCGAGCACGATAAGCTCTGGGACATCACCTCCGACGCCCTAAAGGCCGTCGTTCCCGAGGAGAACTGGAAGCCCACCGGCGACAAGCTCGCCATGTTCAAGGGTGGCGCCGGCACCGTCCTCTTCTTCGAGGACCAGGCCGTTGTCGATGACCTCCAGAACAAGTTTGCGCTTTATGCCGACAAGTTCCCCGTCTGGGCCGACCAGTCCGTTGGCATGCTCGTAAGTTAACACATCCTTTTTCTCTCAAACTATTTCTTGTTTTATTTTCTTCGTCTCCAGCTAGACCGAATGCTAACCTGATGCGTTTTTCCCCCACAATAGCAATTCGCCGTCTGGACCGCTCTCGAGGCTGAGGGTCTCGGTGCCAACCTCCAGCACTACAACCCCTCATCGACGCCAAGGTCGCCGAGACCTGGAAGGTCCCCACCACCTGGAAGCTCAATGCCCAGCTCGTCTTCGGCGGCCGCACCGCTGAGGCCGGCCCCAAGGAGTCCAAGCCCGTCTCCGAGGTCCTCAAGGTCCACAGCTCCTAGACACCCTATCTCTTTTCGCCGCTAGCTTTTCGGCTCCTCTCTTCTCCTCTTGTGTATGATACAATTGGAGTGAGGGGTGGCTCATTCTTTGCGCACACCCAACCAGCACGCATTTGTTTTTGGGGAGTGCTTGAGTGGATTACTTGATTATTTGTAGCCAGTCATATTTTTTATCATTTGTTTTTGGTGCCGTGGGGTGAGGGATTGCACAACCCCTCTCCTCCCTTACCTTTGCATTGGGCGGAGTCTGTTTAAGAAATGGCGGGATCCCTTCTCAAGGGTTGAAAGAGGAGGATGGCATATGCCAGTAAATAAAGATTTATACCTATCCATGGGACCTTAGCCGCCATGGATAGGTTGAAACCTGATATGAATAGAAACCATGCCTAGACAAAACTCGTCTTCTATAATATTCTTCTACCCTTTTTGACACAATCTCGGAGTTCCGAGCCTGTACCCTTACCCCTAGATATCTACTACTTCAAGAAGTCTGAACACGATCGTCATGTTGAAATTGAACATGGGAAGCAAGAACGAGAGAAGAAAAAGACAACTATAAAAAAAAAAAACTCCCAGTAGATGCTACAGATATTACCACCTCCCTCACAGCACAGAGCGTACCGCTCGCTGTGCATCTGCTATGCTTTGTCCTTTGGTGTGTATGGAACAATTAAATATATCCAATGTTGAATGAATCATGCCTCACTATCGTGTCCATCCCTTAAGCGACCTCTGTGGTATAACCGAGGGACTGGCCCATCTGAACCTTTTGGCCCTTCTCTACCTCCCATACCCAGCCAGTGCGCTTGCCATTCTCGTCCTTCTTCTCAATAGGAGCTTCAAACACCAACACAATTGTGCTGCCGAGCTGGAAACCGCCCATCTCTTCGCCACGTCGGACACCGTGGCCGTGGAGAATGGGGCTGGCGGAATGGTACGTAGCTTCGGAGAACCCTAGGTAGGGTTCACCCTTGACGGCAGCTTCCTCTGCGGCTCTATCGGCTGCCGTATCCGTTGTAAGGCTGTTGGTTCGAAGCTCTCGGTCAAAGTTGATCTTGATGGACCCTACGTTAGTGGCGCCAACCGGCACATAACTGAAGAAGCCCCATCGCCAGCGACCGAGAAGCACAACTCTTTCATTCAAAGTAAACAGACCGGGCAGGGTCTTCTGGAGATACGGGGACACACTGTAGAGCTCCCCGGCGAAATGGCGTCGCTTTTCGACAACCCAATTCGTGGGCGAGTGGAATCTATGGTAGTCTCCTGGCGCAAGGTAGATGACAGCGTAGTAGAGGGCAGTCTTCTTGTCGGGGAGAGCGCGTCGTACCAGTTCTGGTCGCCGCGGGCAAGGTCCGCCGAAACTGCGGCAATGGTCGACTCAGAGTCTCGCCTTACCGCCTGATCCTTGAGAGATCCCTGTCGGCCCTTTGTCGCTTGGCCTGCGAATAGGTTAGGGAGAGTGTAGGAGATGCCGTTCAGCCTTGCAAACTCTTCGTGATCGTTGACCAACTGTTCGTCCTTGGCTAAGTCGGCAGGGTCCTTGGACTCAGGATCGGAAGGCCATGATGAAACACTAGGGGTAGGGGTTTTCTTTCCGAGAAGCGCATCAATCGTGTATGTCATTCCTTTCACCTGCTCTATGTCGTTGCCTTCGATTTGTCCAAACTGGAGGATCCGACCGTCCGAAGGGGATAGAAGGGCGTCGGGGCGAGGGTCCAGGGGACGAGAGCCGGGTTTCAGGGTTCGGTAGAAGAACGCAGCCAAGTTCTTGTACGTTCGAAGATCGGGTTCCGCAACTTCGTCAAGACTACCACGCGAGTTAGGCATGCTCAATACTAATCCATGAGAGGCAAGTAGCCACGCCTGCTGGCACAAATAGCTAAATGGGCTCAACTTACTTGACACCAAAGAAGTAAGAATAGAGTTTAAAACCGGGGGCTCTCAGATAGTACGGAATAGTCAACTCGTTGAACCATCCCCATAGTCTCGAGATGGCCTTGAGAGGAAGCGTCGACATGACACGGACTTGCCTAAAGAGCCAGGCCCGTTAGCATCCAGATACGAAAGCGAAGGCACCGGGGCAAGACGTCGGGCCCAACTTACCATGGTCCCTCGGGCCGTATCCTAGGCCGTTTCTTGGGACGCTTAGAGTTTGATTCCTCTTGGATTTCTTGGCGCTCTGCCTTTTCTTGCTGCTCAAGTTGCTTCGCAGTGGCATCCTCGTCCTTGCCCGTGGTCTTGTAGCCCTTATAGAGGTGTAGGAAGCCAACTACGCCAATGCCTACGCTTACAGGGATAGAGAACCATTGTACCTTGGACCCTTGAGAAGGGTTTTGAGGGCGTTGGCGAGACTGGTGAATGCCTCGTCGTGGAGCGTCAGGGACACGACGCCGTCGGAGCGAGAAGCGCATTGTAGCTGGCTGGCGATATAGACAGCTAGGAGCGTGTGGAGGAACGGTTCCGGGGAACAGTCCTATCACGCGGGGACCGCGGGGAAGGCCCCGGGTAGTCTTGCGGCCATGTGTGCAGGGTAATGTACTATCTCTCAACAATGGGGTTTTCGGCAGGCTTCCATCAAGCTGCGGTGGGGGTTGAGGGGGACCACACCGCAGTTTAACTCGGGGTCGGTTACAGTAACCGAACTGCCGCTTTCGCTTTATGTGTGGGTTTGCCTAGGGCGATATTTTTTTCCCCTGCGCAATCCGCGCAAAGTCCTCGTGAATATGCACGAGATCGAAACCGGAGAGGGCAATGGGGCGCGTGGGATGCGTCTTTTTGTCCTCGCTAAGCCGCTCTGGTTGGGACCAGTGGTGGCAGGCGTAGGTTTATGTAGTCGAGTGGGGACGGGATTGTTGAGACGTGGGATTTTTAGTCGAAAAGGGGCTCTGGCCAGACGCATCACCGCACATGCAAATTATCTGCCCTGATATCAATTTCGTTCCGAGATTTGATTCAATGACGTCCCCATAAGCGTGTATTGCTATTTTATGCAACCTCCTCTCAAAAGCCTCTGGCCAGAGGCCGGAAGAACAATATTTCCACGTTCCTCGAAAGACTATTGGTTGGAAGTTCGAGAATGATCGTAAGGGTTTTTGATTGGTGTCCCGGCATATTCCGTCAGCTCCACCAGTTTGTTCCTGGATCATCTGGCAGGGAGGATGCTGGGAGAGAGAGTGGAAGTCTGGTGCGGAAAAGTCCAGATGCGGCTTAGTCATACCGGGTGAGTTGGCCCTTTGATCGAGCCCCGTGTCTACAACTTGTATTACTATGACCAGTGAGGGTTCTAGTGGCGACAGGTGTCAGGTACGACTGTGAGGCGGGCATGTCTCCGAAGCTCCCATTTTGAGTTGGCTCTTGACCAACAATAACACCCAACTATGAGGGCCATCACCTACTAAGCATCTAGCCTCAATATCTTCACCCCTCTTACCTGTCGCATCTATATCTTCCTTCCGCCTTGCTCAAATTGGACCTGGTCATCCTCCGAGTGTGTAACCTCCCCGAAGCACGATCGAATAACGATCCTCATCGTTGTATAGGCCACGACAACAACCCACTCGAGCGACTGCTTACTACCCTCACGACCCAACCTTCCCCCTCAACTTCCAACCCCAGACCGAGTCATCCCTCTCCGTATAGCTACGGAGTTCTAGCCTCAGATGAGAGAGACTACAAGTGCTTAACGCTGCAGCACACAGCAAAAGACAGGGTTCCCACGCTCACCTCTCGAGAGCGCATTCGCATTCGTTCCACTCTGGCTTAGGATCTGGTCTTGACGCGGCGCCTCATTTCTTAGCGATAATGGATCCAGAGTCTTCCCAACTCGCCCCAAAGGGGTCCTCCGACGGGGAGGCTTCTGCGCCCGCCGAGCTCACGATCAACCTTAAAATCATTTCTCCAAGTCTGACTCTACCCGTCAGTCTCCTGGGCTTGCCCGCAACAACGACGGTCCTGCAGGTAAAGGAAAGAGTACGACAGAAACTGCAGAGCCGCCCATCGGACGCGCAACAACGCTTGATCTATAGGGGCAGAATGCTAAACCGCCCGGAGGAAAAGCTTCTTGACCTATTTGGTGAAGAGATGGTAAGATCCCTACTAACCTAATTTATCGCCTTGTTCTTTATCACTGACTGTTTACCCTGCCACTGCATAGATCCGCACTTCCGATCAGCAAACAATACACCTCATTCTTCCCGAACAGGTAGAAAGCCCATCACTCTCATCTACGACGACACCAGTCCGCGGGCAAAGCCCTGCGCGCCAAGAGGCTATCAACAATGCGCACCACCAATACTTTGACTCCGTCCTCCAACAAGGCGCCCGTCACCTATCACGAAGGACCGTGACAACGACTACAACCACGGTCAGCTCTCCAGCTGGAACGCATAACCCTACCGACCCACAGAACCATCCCGCCAACACCCACCCGACTGCCCCCAGATGTACCGGACGCAACACGGCCCGACCTATACAGCACAAAGCCTCCAGCAGATGGCTCAACGCCTCAGTCGAGAAGCAGCGCGCCAAAGGGCTCATCTGCACCAATATGACCGCCCAGGAATGGGGCTGGCCGGACTTCGATATAACAATATTCCGCAGGCACCCGGCATCAACACCCCTGACCACGGTCCTTATCGCCGCGCGAGTCCATCACCCAATGCAGAGGGAAATCGGGTTGGCACTGCAGAATCGGGCTTGTCAGACACAGAGGTTCAAAGCATGTTCCGAGCAGCGGACACTCGTCAGGCTATCAGGACGATGACTACTGCCATGCAACGAAGCACATCCGGCGCGTCAATGGGTCTTCCACAGAGCGGCCGAGCTACGCCAAATCATCTTTCACGAAACCCGAGCGGCAACACCATTCCCGGAGCGTTCAGCGGCCTACATGCGAACCCGACCATCCAGGCTGGGACGGAAGTCTATATCCTCAACTCTCCAAACGGTCCCCGAGGCCTGCTGCTCAACAACCATACCGAAACGTATTACACGCCATCCATGCGTCCGACGGCGACGTCGTCAGGCTCGTCGTACGGGCTTCCAAACCCTCAGCAACTACGACAACATTTTGCATTCATGCCAACGACCCCTACACCTACGCTTCCACCACAACTCGGCGTGAACCAGGATAATCAAGGAGACGTGGATGGCCAAGGACGGGTCCGGAGGCGAGTTAGAATCCACGTCAATCGCGGGGGCAATATAAATGCCCGTCAGAACCATGCTGGAATGGTTGCCTTGATTGCTAGGTTTTGGCCTCATTTCTGGTTGGCAGTCAGACTTGGCCTGTTCGTTTGGTGGTTCACTTCACCAAACTCTGGCTGGACCAGGTGGCTAGCTGTCATCGGAATCGCCCTTTCCATCTTCGTCTTGAATACAGGTGCTCTTGATGGTGTGGCGGACCAGTTATGGCGAGTCGTTTGCCGCCACATGGAGAGCCTGATCCCAATGGCCGGCCACAACGGTGCGCAGGGTGCCAACCAAGGCGCCGGTCAGAACCGCAATCAAGAACCACCACCTCCGGCGGCCCCCAACAGGATGCAGGAGCTCCAAACCGCGGCAACCCCAACCCCGAGAATATGGCAGTACGTCTCGTCGGTCAGCGCCGTGCAGCTAATGCCGACTGGCTTCTCGACCGCGTTCGTCGCGCTGAGCGAGCTGGGTTGTTGTTCCTCGCTAGTATCGCTCCAGGCGTCGCTGAGCGCCACATTGCTAATCTCGAGGCAGAAATCGAGCGACAGCGTCGGGAGACTGAAGCCGCGGAAGCTGCTAGGCGCGCGGCCGAGGCAGAGGCAGAAGCTGCGGCGGGGACAGAGACCGCCGACGGAGCTGTGGGAGAAGAAAACACAACTGGCGAGGAAGGGAGCCCGGCGATAGCGGGGAGCGCTCCTCAGGTAAACGTGGATGAGCCTTCGCCCCCGCCGGAAGCGGATCGGCAGCCCGACCTCATCCAAGTCTAACGTGGTTCCCGGCGTTTCAAATCCTCGAGATGGTGAAACTCGATGTCGACTAGCCATCACGTTTCCATCTCTCGAGTGTGTCACACTTGCTAGCTTCCAAGGTGTTCATTTGGACCCATTGAGGCCACGTCACTGGGGTATCCGTTCCTTGACTCAACTCAATGTTTGGATCACGAAGGATTTACAAAAGGCGGGAAAAAGGAGCGATGCTGCAGTTTGCGATGCTTTATTCTTCTATAAATTTCGAGGCGTTGGGAGGATAGAACTTTTTCCGTTACTCTTTTATTTCTTCAATTTTCTTCCCTCCTTTTTCTTTCCCCCTCATAACCAGCCTCGAATTTTTCTAATCCCCCCACCCAGCCTGCTGTTGATCGCCCTCGTGCTGTAGATTGCTGTTTCTTCTCGAGTCTCCAGAGACAGGATATGATGACTTGATGGCGGCAAGGAGGCAAACGCCATGTCCACCAACCATGTCACTTCTCCATGCGCGATGTTTATGCCTCCCCCACCCCCTCTGATGTACATAGCTGTTTATCCCTGTTTTCTTTTCTTTTACCATGTTGCTAGATCCATACAGCTAAACTTGCCTCCGTGTATAAAGCCTGATTATGCATAAGCTTTCTTTAGACCCGAGCATCGGGTGCGGATCTGAGATTACACTCGGATCCTTTTCGCATGGGGAACTCACGAAACCACGTCCATTTTGTCGGCGACGCACTTTGCGCACCCACGCAAGCTGCGCATGTAACTCAAGGCTTTGGTCTAAGCCCTTGGAGATGTGCTGTGTCTAGTCCCCGCGGAAAACAAATCCCGTACTCCGGTCATTCAGCTTTTGATCGTAATTTACAATTCGCTAGCCATGTCTGTCTCAACTCTATTCTCCTAGGTTGGCGCACGCCCTCCCAACTTTGATCAACCAGCCATCTCGACGTCGCCACCGCCCTGCTGCTTCCTCTTCTTCCGAACCTTGTCCATGGATAGCCACTCCTCCTCTCTCTTTGCGGTGGCGTCCTTGACCCAGCTGTCAAACTTGCCCTCGGCCACCTTTTCCTTTACGACACCTTTGAGAACCTCGCCGGCGAAGCCGACAAAGTTGTGCCTGCGCAGGGCGTTTTCAAACATCCAAGCCTCGCGCTTCCTATCCTCGGCCTCGACGGTGTCGAGGTCGCCGATCTCGCGCGCGGCGATGCGGCGGTCCCGGACCATGGCGAGGAGGTTGAAGCGGATCTCGGAGGCGTCGTAGCGGGCGATGCGCCTCTGGAGAACGTCCATGACCTTGGCGCCAAAGTCTTCCGTGGTGCCGTCGCAGTCGCCGTGGGAGATGGGGGAGGGCTGCAAGCCGTCGAGCTCGTACAGCTTGCCGTTGACGGGGAGGTAGGCGATGAAGTGGAACGCGTCGTCGGGCTCGCCGTCCTTTGCGTCTCGTCGACAAAGGGGCTGCTCTTGGCGAAGCTGTTGTGGACCTCGCGGATGAGCTCCGAGTTGCTGAGGGCCTCGCCGCGGATGTCCGGGGGAGCATGCCGGCAAAGTCTTTGAACTCGCGGAGCTTGTCCCCGACATCGATCTCGTCGCGGTTCAGGACGACGCTGAGGAGGGCCTGGGTGCCGCAAGCGTTTTGGATGGTTTGGTGGGCGAAGAAGATGCTGTCGGAGGCGGCTTCGTCGTAGGAGCCATCGTGGGGGCGGAAGCGCCGGCGTAGGGGCGGTCGGTGGGGAACTTGAAGAGGAAGATGACGCCGTATACGGGGTGGAGGGCGGAGAGGTAGGAAGGGTCGAGGGAGAGGAGCTCTTCGAACTGCACGTCTTTTACGCCGAGGTTCTCGAGGAGGTATGTGAAGACGCCCTGGTGGAGGAAATGCTTAGGTTAGCCAATACTTGTAGGGATCTTAGAGGGCTTGGGCAAAAGGGACGGGTAGGGCAGAGCATGGTATTAGGCTGGCTCGAAGAGGGGGGCTCGGGGAGGAATAAGCTCGTACCGCATCGGACTCGACTAGAAAGAGAAGAGATCAGTTAGCGACAGCATGCCAAGGGGCGCTTCAACCGCCAGAAGAAGAGTTAGATCTCGAATGTACGACTTACTAGTATTCCAGCCCCCACTCATCCTTTCGGGCTGGGATGTTGTGATGCAAGTAGATGAATCTCTACACTACGAGGGGTGGTGCTCAGTAATGGCCTTTTCCTCTTAGGTTCTCGTCTACTATGCCGTTTCCTTTCGCCGCCCTTTTCTGTTGGGAGCGGTTGGGTGAGAAGATTGCGTGGATCTTGGAGTTCTTTCTTTCTTTCTTCTTCTTTTTTCTCGATTGTCGGCGATGCGCAATGCTTTGTCGACAAAAACCCGAGCTCTTGAACCAATGGAGCAATATCAACTGGCTGCGCTGCATGCAGGTTGCGCAGCTCTTTCCGACGTAATCGGGAGCAGTTCCAGCAAATGGGGCTTGGTGAATATCCATTAAAGTGGGTTACCGCTTAAAGCGAGTGGACCCCAGTTTGGACTCTCCAGCGAGATTTCGAGCAGGAGGGGATGCTTCCTTTTCCATTGGCACAACATCTGGTGTGCCCAATTTACATTTCTCTTCCGTCTATCTATGGTAGCCAAAGGCTCGATATCAGTTCAAGCTACAGTTTCTCCCTGCTTTGCCCCGAGCCTAGTGTGCTAACTAGGATGTGAAAGTGGGCAAAAATCCGTACATAAAGCTTGGTGGGTTGCTCAGAATGGCGGCGCACGCGAAACCCGCGCAGCGACTGCCCTTACGATCTAATAACGCATGGTTGATCGCCGCATCTAATCGGCGCAGCGATGGTCAACCTCATAGTTAACTAGATCGGAATTGAAGCAGTCGTCTCGTCAGCCGTGCCAGTCTCGTGCAAAGTTCTTTTTCTCCTCTGCCGATCGTAGTCTTCTATTGTATATCTCGACCCAAGGATTGACAGCTCGCGAGTGTCATGAAAAAGATTGCCAAGGCGAGTGGCACCCTGATGATCGCCTGCACATAGCTATGCGCTCAGGGAGCAGGCGTTTGATAGATAGACGGTTTCTTATTTTTGAAGTTGTTAGTCTCACTGGGTTGTTGGCGATTGGCTTATCTATCAAGAAACCTCAAATCCTTATCAACCATTGCCCGACCCACTTTCCTTTTGACGTCCAAGCCGGAGTTGGAGAGTGAGTAATAGCCAAGACGACTTCGAGCCGTCAAGGCTTGTTCACTCTCCCCTCTGTAGCAGCTTCACAAGCTTCATTCTCCGACCGACGACGTGCGGAATCCTCTGCCTGCCCTCCGCGACATGGACAACCCCGTGGCCGCCAATATTCTGGGCACGGCGGGGGCCGTCTGCTGGTCCATCCAGGTACGGCTGCACTGTGAACCCCCATCTGGAAGACATGGAAGACATGAATCCCTAACCATTCGCAGCTCATACCGCAAATTATCAAGAATTACCGGCTGCACAGTACCAAGGGCCTCCATCATTCCATGTACATTTCCTGGGCCTTTGCCGGCATCCCCTCGGCGCCTACAACCTCGCGCAAAATCTTAATATCGCGCTGCAGGTTCAACCCAACATCCTCATCTTCCTGAGCCTTGTGGCTTGGGCCCAATGCAAGTACTACGGCGACGGCTGGCACCTGCCGCGCATCCTCGCCAGCTCCGTTCTCTGTGCCGCCGTGATTGGCGGGGCCGAAACGGGCTTGTATTTTGCGCTGAGGTTAGGCCGAAGACGTGGTGTGGAGTGGCCGATGATCCTCGTCGCCGTCCTCGCAGCCGTGCTACTGGCCATTGGCGTGCTGCGGTACTACTGGGAAATCTACAAGGCAAGATCTGTCCAGGGCATTTCGTACATGTTTGTGCTCGTCGATGCGGGAGGAGACTTGGTGTCCATCCTTGCCATCGTTTTCAGCCCTCGGATCGACGAGGTAGGCATGGCCGTGTACGCGGTCGAACTGGTCCTTTGGATCGGCATTGGGCTTTTGGGGGTGCACTACAGGTTTCGCCCGTGGATAGCAAAGCTGCTAAAAAGGCCGCAAGGTGGCGGGCAAGAGAGAGAGGGTGGGGAGGTTGAGCAATACGGGTGACTGTGGAATGTTCAGCCATCGCTCCTCGCCTATAACCAACTCGAGAGGCACCTACAAGAAGGTGCCAGAAGGGAAGCAGCAATCCGGGAAAGAGGACTTGGGGACAAAAGTGAATTCTTGCACGCTGCCAACATTGCCCGGCGTCAGTCGTACATGCAGGAGGCTTTTTTGCCCGCTCTCGACTCAGGGCTTTCCCTCTTTTGAAAGATAGATGGGGATGGGCCAGCCTCCGGTGGAATTAATGGAAAGGGCCCGCTCCTTGAGTGGTGAGGAATCACCCGAGCGGGCCTACGCTATTCGGTTCTTCGCTGTGCGACCCTGAAAACCGGTTGAGGGATCTCCAGTCCTACACCGTCTCACCTTTTCTCTTCGAATCAGACTCCGCGTCTCGCCTTCACCCCTTCACCGCAGGTTGCCCGTCATCGGACTTGGACCACTTTTGTGCCTGCTCTGAAACCCGAATCCCGATTCCGCCCACGCAAGATGGACAATTCCTCTTTTACATAATCATCTCCACCCCGGACGTGCACGGTGCTCGATCGGATTGGCAGGGGTTTCCGGACCTCGAACCCCGGGTTTCCGTGCCTTTGGGCGACGCCGGAGAGCGGAAACGCCTGCTCCAAGCAGAAATCACTTATAAAACTTGAGCGACCACTTGGTGCAACCCGGTCGTTTGCATTCTTTCAACTCTTTTCCTCATTTATGCTATTGATACAATACTTTATTTGATTACTCGTAGCCATCGGACTTCGAGCAAGTTTCCCTTGACCCTCTTTATTTTTGTTAAAGTCCCCCACCCACTCCATCTCGAAACCATGGGTGCTGGCTGCTGCTCAAACGACAAGGACGGCTCTCGCGCCCTTGCTGCCGTAAAAGACGACGACGCAGTCCCTGGGGCTCCCGCCGCCGACGATGTGTGTCCCGATGACGATACCTGCTGTAAAGACGATGATTGCGCCGACGATTTCGACTCTTTGCTCTCCCTCGATCTTCGTTGCTGCACCACAAACGAAGAGGCTTGTGATGGTATCTACTGCTTCCCCGCTTCATCGAGCCCTCTTCCTTTCTTTTTCCATCCCTTTTGCTAATGTGGTGCAACTTGTCTATAGAGAAATGCATCCTAGCTGTCGCTGCTCTCGAGTGCGAGAAGAGCTGCGACGACGATTTGGCTCACCATGGTTCGTCCCCTTTTCTTTTGGGCCCTCCACTTATACACCAAGGGGCCCTCCTGAATCAAACGCAAAGGGCTCCCTATTCCCAACCCACGCTAACACCTTGCCTCTAGAAGCCGCCGGCCACCAGCATGCCCACGACGGCGACGGCAGGCACCCGCATCCGCTTGCGCCGACCATCTGACCAAGGCCTTTGAAACCTATGCTGCCTACCTCGAGACCGCCCGTTGCATCTGCCGAAACATTCTCGACCGCGGCTTCACTTCGACTTGCTGCGATACCCACAAGAAGAAGGACGCCGCCGCCGCCGCCGTTGCCGCCGCGGTTGCCGGCCCAGGCCAGGAAAAGTCGGCAGCTGCTTACGCGAGCGGCCGCTCCACCTCCCACGGCCTGTTGAGCCGGCGATCGCGTCACCATCACCACCCCAAGTCTAGTGGCGTTAGGAGCCGTCGGGCTCACGCCCGGATCGCAGATTCGGAAGACCTCGACTGTACTTCAACCGTCACGGGCCACCACGACCACGTCCATGGCCACGGCCACAACCACGACGGCCATGACCACGACAACCACGCACACGACAAGGAAGACAGCGAACCCGGCCACTGCTCCGGAAACGACTGCTGCGCCACAACCGCCGCAGCCCCTTCCCCGCCGCCAACGCCGCAGACCGCGACCTAGAAAAGGCCGCCGGCCTCGAGCACGTCTCCGTCGCCGTCGACGGCATGACGTGCTCCGGCTGCGCCAACAAGGTCGAGCGCGCCCTCGGAAACATGCCCGCCGTGTCCCGCGCCCGCGTCAACTTCGTCATGGGCCACGCCGAGTTCGCCGTCGACCCCGCGTCGCCAGCGTCGCCCACGTCGTCCGCGACCTCGAAAGAGCACCGGGTTCAGCTGCGTGCGGCGGGCCAGCGGCGAGCAGACCATCGACGTCCTCTCCTCCGGCGCGCCCGCCAAGGCCCTCGCCGGCCTCGATATCCCCGGCGTGGCCCAAATCGCCATCGTCAACAAAAAGTCGTCCAAATCACCTACGACCCCGCCGTGATCGGGGCCCGCACCCTCCTCGCCAAGATCCACGCCTTGTCGGACGGCCTCGCGCCGCCCGCCGCCGACCCCACGCTGTCCTCGGGCAAAAAGAGGCTCTACGACGCCCTCGTCAAAACCGTCGCCGCCGCCCTCCTCACCATCCCCGTCGTCGTGCTCGCGTGGAGCGAAACTCCTGTCTCCGAAAAGACCAAGGCCATCGTCTCCCTCGTCCTCGCCACCCTCGTCCAGCTCATCGCCGTGCCCGTCTTCTACCGCCCCGCCCTCACCATCCTGTTCCGCGAGCGCACCCTGGAAATGGACATGCTCGTCACCATCAGCATCACCGCCGCCTACGTCTACTCCCTCGTCGCCTTCGCCTTCCGCATGGCCGACCGCCCCCTCGAGACCGCCGAGTTCTTCGAGACCAGCACCCTGCTCGTCACCCTCGTCCTCCTCGGCCGCCTCCTCTCCGCCGTCGCCCGCGTGCGCGCCGTCGCCGCCGTGTCCCTGCGCTCCCTCCAGGCTGCCACCGCCCTCCTCGTCGAAAACGGCGAGGAGACCGAGGTCGACGCCCGCCTCCTCCACTTTGGCGACCGCTTCCTCGTGCAGCCCCACTCCCGCATCCCCACCGACGGCCGCATCGTCCACGGCGTCGGCGAGGTGGACGAGTCCATGCTCACCGGGAGAGCCTCCCCGTCGCCAAGAAGCCCGGCGACGACCTCATCGCCGGCACCGTCAACGGGTCCACCCCCTCCACGCCCACGTCACCCGCCTCCCCGGCCGCAACACCGTCACCGACATTGCCCAGCTCGTCGAGGAGGCCGCGGGCTCAAGCCCAAGATCCAAGACCTCGCCGACCGCGTCGCCGGCTGGTTCGTCCCCGCCGTCGCCATCGTCGCCCTCGCCGTCACCGTCATCTGGATCGTCGTCGGCCTCAAGGTCCGCAACCAACCCGCCTCCAAAGCCGTCTCCGACGCCGTCACCTACGCCATCGCCGTCCTCGCCGTGTCCTGTCCTTGCGCGCTCGGCCTCGCCGTGCCCATGGTTCTCGTCGTCGCCGGCGGCATCGCCGCCCGGGGCGGTGTCATCATCAAATCCGCCGAATGCACCGCCACCGCCCGCCGCATCACCGACGTCGTCTTCGACAAGACCGGTACCCTGACCGACGGCAAGCTCGAGGTCGTCGCCGAAGAGTTCTTCGGCCCCGCTAGCGCCGCCCGCGAGGCCGCCTCCTCGCCAAGGCCCTCGTCGCCGGGAATAATCACCCCGTCTCGCTCGCCATCGCCAAGCACCTCGAGAAGAACCCCGCCCCCGCCGCCACCCTAACCACCTCACCCCGCTCTGTCCCCGGCGCCGGCGTCGAAGCCACCGACGCCCAAGGTTCCACGGTCCGCGCCGGTAACCCGCGGTGGACCGGAAACGACGCAGCGCCCGCCGTCGTCTCCCACTCCACCGCAGGCATGACCCTACTCCTAGTCACCCGGGATTCCGTCCCCATCGCCCTCTTCGCCCTCCGAACCTCTCTCCGTCCCGAGGCCGCCTCCGTCGTTGCCGCCCTCCAAGCCCGCAACATCTCCGTCCACCTTGTCTCGGGCGATCAGACCGAGGCCGTCCACGCCACCGCCTCCTCCGTCGGCATCCCCCTCGCCAACGCCGCTGCCCAGCGCTCACCGGCCCAGAAGCGCGACTATGTCGCTGCGCTCATGGCCGAACCCGGCCGCTCCGTTCTCTTTTGCGGCGACGGCACCAACGACGCCGTCGCCGTCGCCCAGGCAAACATTGGCGTCCAGCTCAGCGGCGGCCAGGGCGAGGCCATCTCCGCCAGCGACGTCACCCGCGGCGCCGCTGACGTTGTCCTCCTCTCCGGCCTCCACGGCGTCACGTTCCTGCTGGATGTCAGCGCCGCCGCCTTTCGGAGAATCGCTTTCAACTTTATCTGGTCCGCCGTTTACAACGTCTTGGCTATCCTCATGGCCGCCGGCGCTTTTGTCAACTTTAGAATCCCCCAGCCTACGCGGGCCTTGGTGAAATCGTTAGCGTGTTACCCGTCATCTTCGCTGCCATGACCATGCTAGCACTGAAGCACCGCATCTAAATCAACACTTTCCTCCCTTGGTGTCCATGGCGGCTTCAGCCTCAGTCTTGCTCCCCGTATGGTTGGTTTCATCAACTCTACACTGGGAAAGGGGAGACGAACAAAATAAGAAGCCCTCCCCTGTCGGGTGCGATGGCGATATATTACTTTGTGCGATGTGGTCACGGACGCCTCATAGCTAGATGTTGTCTGTTTGATAATCCTACGGCTAGCTTGGGAGGGATCAATGTTCTACCATTACATAGAACAAGGGGAGGGTAGAATATTGCCGTGTCACCTATATATATTCATCACTTAGCTTCTCAATGACGAATCGTACCATACATGCTTCCCTTTCAGCTGATTGCTCTACTACTCCATGAAAGCTCTAGTTTTAACCTTTTTACCATTTGTAGATACTATTTTTGACATAGCCCATATCACCAAATACGCCCAGGGCCAAGCCCTTTACACACGGGCTAAAGCCATCCATCCGCAGGCTTCTGCCCCTTGTATATTATTTCTTTTTTTCCTTCCTTTTCGTCCTTGTTGTTATACAATCGCCTCCTAATCGCTTCAGTCCTTTCAGGAAGGTATCTCGGCGCCAATCTTCTACACAACCGTCATGGTAGTTGTAGATCGGATGCGCCTTGAGCCATCATCCCGCTTAAAGTTCCCCGGAGCTTGTCTCCAAGGTGCGCGATCCTCCATTGGATCCACGGAGCGCATGAAGTAACAGCGTCGTCATCGTCATAATCGTCATGCCCATAGGCTCAATCTTTTGTTGAGTGTGAGCGCGTTACAAGAGCTCGGGGGAGACACAACGCTGAGGCTAACTTTGTCGACCGAGGCCGAGTTCTGACGTGAATGATCAAATGAGTTTTGATCATCACCGAGATTCAACCCACGCTTGCTTTGGCTCGCGGGATCGACAGATTCGCGAGGAGCCCGGCGCCGATTGATAGCGCGCACGAACCATGGCTGTTGTCCCGGCCCTCTCCAGGTCCAGTACTCCTTGAGATCGTACTCACGAGGCTCCAAGCGGCCCCCTGAGATTATCACAACCGCTCCGATCAACAAATTTAGAGAAGTATATACGAAAAGGCCCCTACATAACTCCATTAGAACTCGTGATCAACACCTTGAACCATGGGGGCAACTTACGCGATGAGTCCGTAAGCCACACTGTAGCTGAACGGGATGAATGCTAGGACGACAAATGACGGGATTGCGTCTCCTACATATCGCCAGTTGATGGCCGTGATTTGGCGGATCATCATGCATCCAACCTGGAGTCTCTTGTTAGCACCTCCATATCGTCGAGCGGCCACGTCCCTAGTCAGGAATGCAAGGGGGAAGTTTTCTTACCAGCATCAACGTGCAGCCCGTAGCCCACGGGGAATGGATGCGAATATAGGCGCGAAGAAAATCGAAATTAGGAAGCAGATGCCAGTTGTCATAGCAGTCAAACCAGTCCTTCCGCCCTCAGCGATCCCAGCACCGCTTTCAATGAAAGCTGTGACTGGGGAGCAACCTAGGAGGGAAGCGAGAGAAATGCATGTCGCATCCGTACAGTATGCCAGCGTCGACCGGGGAAGTCTCCATCGTTAGGGTCAACAACACCACAAAATCTCACCATGGAATACAGGGTTGCGGTGGCATCGATGATGTCCACGTAAAGAAAAGTGAATAAAGCTAGAACGAATTGAGAGCCTTTGGACTTGATGTCCCAGTCTAGTTGGGCTAGTGTGTGCTGAATTGGATGGAAATCGACAACCTGTTTAAAGAAATCGAACCGCGAGTTCCCCTCCGGGGTATCTGGGAAATATGTGATTGAGGTGTTTCGACTAATGATTTGATGAGCAACAGAGAGCAAGAAATATAGCTGAAGGATAGGTTTCATTCGACTTACGGCCAAGATAGTATGGAGACAAAAGCAATACCAATAACAAGCGCGTATTTGACTCTAAAGGCCATCAAGAACGCTGTGAGGACACCGCCCCCAAGCACACCAACCCACAGCTAGAAGAGGATTAGCAGCCGCAACAGGATTGGGCATCTTCGAGGGCGAAGCAACTTTACCTTGGGATTGGACATGAGGGCGCCGTCGCACATGCCTGTTTGGGCATTGATATCCTCGGGTCGACAGCCAGCCAGAGCCAGAGGGTAGCGTGCCATCCACCTGTGATAGCTCCAATTCCTGCCGAGTACGAGAGACCAATCTCGGTCAGGAACAAGCCAATACCAACCCCAGTAGCGGTTTTAATGGTGGCAGGAATCAATTTGACTAGCCATTGACGCATTCCGGTCAAGGCAAGGAAGATAAAGACCAAGCCCTCAACGAAAACTGCTGTCAGCGCGAGTCTATATGGTATAGCTCCGGTGCCATTCACGCCAACGACTTGGAAAGCGAAGTAAGCGTTGAGGCCCATGCCCGGTCTGGATAAAGACAGAAGTTAGGATCAAAGCTTTCCAGAGGGTCATACGGTATGATTTTAAGCTGAATACTTACGCGAGAGCAACGGGCAAGTTCGTGAAGAACCCGAACAAAAAGCTGGAGAATCCAGCCACGGCAGCTGTTGCGGTAATCAAATCTCTCCGCACATCTTCCGGCATGACAGTTAGACTCGTGAACACTTTGCATTAAATTCGCACAATTATTTCTTACCTTCCTTGCAAGTGGCGTATGAATCCAAGGTATCGCAATCCATTCTGTTTTGTAGGTCACATTCGCAAGGCCCTCCAGTTTGTGAGAGGATAGCAGCCTAGCGGAAGGAGAATGGGGCAATCAGTCGGCGCTCCTCCGCTTTTAGAACTTCTAGGGTTATAAGGGAACTTACGTTGACGGCAATGATGTAGGCCATAGTCGCAAAGGTTGTTACTCCAGCCCGGAGTTCGTTGAGGAAGGTAGCTGTAGGGACCTCGTCCGGCTAGATACCAAAAGAGACGTTAGCACTAATATCAAATGAACTTCAACGAGGCATGCATGATCAAAAGCTTACATGGCCAGAGCCTCTGAGACGAAATATCCGCCCAAATGTCGACGACGAGACGATGTCGTCGATACCCATTATGGTTTGTCCCCACCCTCGAACTTTTGCCTTCAAGCTCGCCATCAAAGGGGCTGGCTCTCGAGCCGGCTCTATGTGCTCCATGGGCTCCATATTGCCGGAAACTGCGAAAAAGGCGCGGCAGCCGATTGGGATGCGGTTCGGTAGATGTAGCAAGTTGGCAAAAAGACTGGCCTCAGAGCAATAGAGGGAAGCGGTGAAAATGGGAAAAGGCCCCTTTCGTCAACGGTTGTTGCTTGACTATCTTTGAGACACGAAGAAGCAAGAAAACATAAAAAAGGAACGAGAATCCGGGGAGACGATGCTCGGTGAGACAGGTCTCTTTGAAAGGGTTTTGTATTTGAAAACAGAAGAGACCGTGTAAGCGGGCGTCGAGGGTTCCGATGTCTCGAGAACCAAGACAGTTTGTGTAATCTGAGACCTTGGCAGACCAACGGACCTGAGAACCAAGTATGGGGAGGCCTGTTTGAATAGAGAGAGTGGCGACACTGGGGTGTTCGTAAACAAGGTAAATTAGGAAGGCAGGTTAGGAGATTGAGTCTGATGACGGTTGATATCGACTACAGGGTGGTGAATGAAACCAGCAAGTGATAGGATGGAACAACAACAAAGATATGTGCGTGGATGAAGTCAAAGAGAACGAGGAGGAAATGGAGAGGGACGCTGCTCAAAAAGTTGAGCGAGGAGGAGAAAGCTTTCCTCCTTCGAGACAGGCGGGAAAGGAGTGTCGCGATAGGTTTCACGAAGAGAGGCTTCGGCGAGATTTGCAGCCCTGTCGAAAGGACTGGAACCGTTTGAGTTTAAAAGGGCGGCCAGTGAGACCAAAGGAGGCTCTCGAGGTGAGTGAATGCTATAAAGAAAGAAGGCCACTGCTGATGGAGAAGGTAACGCGCTTGGTCCGGGAAGATGAGGATGGATACTAACCCTCGAGCCTTCGGAAGATGCCCGTGCCAGCCTGTGATCAGGCCAATAAAGGGACTAAAGTTCGAGGACAGCTAGCAGGGAAGGAATAGTCCCATCTCGCATTAAGGGCAAGGGTAGGCCCCAGCACCTTCCGGGTCGCTTGGGGAGGGGAGGGGGAGCTAGGACGGGTAGTCAACATGGCTGACCCTAGGGCCACCTTCCCGTCTTGCTGCTCATCCAATGTAAGCCCCAGGCCAACCTTCCCACGGTTTGCCTGCGGATGGCTCCTTCGCATCGCTGGGCCGAGATGGAACCCCCTTGCAGAGTGCGGAAAGAGTGCGGGCTTGAAAAACAGACATTGAAATCTATCGATTGATACAATACAACCACTAGATCAATTTTCTTGAAAAGAGCAGTGAGGCAATGGATCCGGGCTGAGTTCAGTAGTTGGACTGAGGTACCGGCGATGTGGGGGCTGAAGAGCTTGGTGTGGCAGTCATTCACCACCAGTTGACCCAAGCCCAAGCTCGACCCGTCTCGCTCCTGCAGTGAGCACCCGGAAATTCTAGCATTGAGGTGTTCAATAATTATGCCCAAAACCGAACTCACCTCAACGCGACGTTATCATTGGCAACAAATCCCCAGGCTCAAGGCGGCCGGTACCCCTTAGCACCTCTTAGCACAGAATCCTTTGGGGATCTATAGATTCTTTACTGGTTCGATAGCGACCCACAGAGATCAATGGATAGCCCAGCCACTGGAACCAGAGGAATTCCGGCTAGAAAGTAAATATTTCTCAGCTTTAGTTCAAGCTTCGGCCGGAGGTGTGGGGTCGAGGAGGAGGAACAAATGACAGCGGCCTCCAGGCCGTTGTTCTCTCAGGAACACCGGCAGCCGACGAATGACTGGAAAGCCCTAGATGCATAGGCAAAGTATGTCGAGGAATCTATCGTTTCACCTGCTGCATAAACTCGACGCCTTTTCCCACCATCAAGAGCAAGGCCATTGAAAAATGACCCAACCCAAGCCTTGAATGTTTGTTATCTACAAGTTTCACTACACTTGGCCCGAATGTACCCATTCGCAAAACACGGCTCCAAGAATGTATATCCACGCAAGATATTCTCCCATCCAATTCCCGCGAGTTTAAATGCCGGCGGGGAGGGAGGATGGTGGAGGCCCCAGGCGCTGAGAAGCATCTTTTCAAGGTTGTTACAACAAATCCATTGGCTTGATTCCCCCTGCGTCGCCATGCTCCAAGACAGGACACAAGTTGCAAGTGCAGGCGACATGTGTGCGGACTGGTGGAAATGGTCAATGCACACAGCAATCGAAAGCCACAAAAAGGGCAGAAGAGCGTGACTCCACATCGAAACAGAGCTTTGGGACCACACTCAGACTACGAAACTTCTTTGTACTTTGAAGAGGTTGCCCACATTTCGCGTGGATTGGCCAGCTCCTGTTCGCCGAATGGCGGGTTTTGGATGAGCTCGAATGCCCACCAGCCCCAAGCCCCCTCCCCTGCCGCCCCAGGGGTTCGGACCACCCTGTTAGTGCTTGGGGTCTGGGCCTGGTTCCAGCAGACTAGACTATTTTCGGTTGGAGGAAGCAATATATTTGCCAAACCCTTCCGTGAACCGACAACTTCATCTGAGCGCAAAAATGGCTCTGCCTAACCCCGACCGGAATCCCAAGGGGGCGGCCGGGAGATCATCTCTGGGAGGATCTCTGATGAAGCTGTGACAATAGACAAAGGGTCTGGAGGAAAAACGCTTGCTCCGGAAGGACAGGACGTAAGAGGTTGCATTCCGCACTTGGTCCGATAGCCCGGCTTACTTCCCAATTCAAATGCGCGGTCCGTTTATAGGGCTGGGGTTTTTTTATTGACCCATTTTCTGCTCATTGCGGACGATCGTTGAGGTCCTCAAATGACTGGATGCTATGCCTCGACTCCTATTCAACATTTCCCTTGAGCGGCAGTCTACTTGCGCGTGTATCACAAAGAAGGCTATCGACAGCTTTCCTCGCGCGATTTACGGAACACCGCAGGGCCCCAGGCCCCTTGTGAAGCCGAACCCGATGTGGGCCAGTCGCCGGAGACATGGAGTGACCGCTCACCGCAGACCCTCTCCAGAACTCAATATCCCATCTGCTGTGCTGCGACGGAGGTTGCGCTCGTGAGCCCTCCCGTTCCACGAGGCAGGATGGTACCCACTCAAAAAAGGCCTGCAACTTAGAAACTTCATAAGCTTGACGAAAAATGCGTCATCCTTGTTCAATTCGGCCCATTGCGTGCGAAACCAATCGAGAAGTGATACACAATAACGAAAAATTTTCAAATTGCGCGGATGCCCTCCTTCTTCGTGCATCCGTCATACCCCAGCTCACCCTGCGTTTCGGCGGCTGCCCCCCCTGTGATGTGCCTTGTCAGCCAGGTATATCGAGTGTCTACAGATTTCAAATGGCTATTTGAGCTAGCCTCCGCGCAAAATTGCACGCGGGAGGACAAGTCAACTACCGAAACTTCACCCGAGACGGCGTCCACTATGTCGGGTTGCACATGAGTTGACGTACCTCAGCACAGCTGTAGAAGAGCATGTGTATTTTCCTCCGCCAATCTACCTACGGCGTTTCCCACTAGAACGGCATAAAATGGACCCATGCGCATCCAGCCGTTTTACTTCCAACACCATTCACGTGCGTGGGAGGGAGAAGTGGTAAGCGCCATAAAGAAGAGGGGAGGCGTTTTCCTTCTCTATTCTCAGCTTAGCTGTGGAAATAGTTTGAGAAGGTTCCCTTTTTCTCCTTTCTTTTCCTCACTTTCCTTTCTTCTTCCATCCTTCCACCCCCTGGCGAGATTCGAAAAGAAACTTCCGCTACCTGAGGATCAACTCGGAGCATGCCTTGTGTCACCGTAGTAGAGGCCAGATGAACGCCACAAAAGAGAATCGGGGCAATGGAAGAGATGAAAGGGTAGAGGTTGGAAGTCGATTAAGAAAGAAAAAGACGCAAAATCAAGTTATCGGAGATATGAGACAATGGTTCAGGCCGTTCAGTCGGCGAGTAGGTGAGCCGAAAATTGTAACCCCTCCGATTCTCTCCGTCCACTCCACTCGATCTCTCCGGGTCGTCATACCATTTCTGTCCATCGCCTACGTCCTATTGGTCAGTCACAATCCTAGCCCGGGTCTCGTCCACTCAGAGCAATCACCGACGTGAAGGCCTCCTGCATCTCCAGATGTCATTGAAGCATTGAATCACATCCGTAAGGGTTGTGAGGAGATCAGTGCTGGAAAGGGGAACAAAGAGGGGAAATGGGGGAAACTGTAAACATCAAAATATCCACCATTAGATATAATGGATATAAAAAAAAAAAAAAAAAAAGCCCTTGGTGCTGGCTAGACTGAAGCATTAACGTATGCTCTTGAGCTTGGCTGACCTCCATCGTCAGCTTGGAAATTCATGCCTTCGATCAATGGGTGCCTCGTTCGCGCGTCTATACGTGTTAGGGCAGAATAGCTCGCCTTTAACCCTCCCAAGACCGTAGCTATTGAGGACTCGTCGCCAGACTCGCGCCTTTTCTTGGGTCCCTTTGGTGGATCGGGCAAGTGGATTGACAGCCAGGCCATCACTAACGCGGGAGGGCCGTCTCGCATGCTGCTAGCAGTCCCCACTTGTCTCGGGCGCTGGGCTTAGTTCTTATCGTGGCATGTTGTCTTGGAAGGGATGGTACAATAAGCAATTTCCTAGATCTTTCTTTTCTTTTTCCTTCTTCCCCCTTCCATTTTTTCCATAGTTGACACGAGAGGTCGTCACGTTGTTTTTTCTCTTTTTCCTTTTTCATAGGGGCACTGCGACCCATTTATGCTGTGCTCCACTGCATGTCTAACGCGCCAACGTCGCCCTCACCGTCAGGTCGGCCTTAGCTTCGAGACATCCCAAGCTAGCTCCAAGGAGAATTGTCCTTCAACTCACAGACAACATACTGTCTGTAGGCGGACGTTTGCTCAGGACGTGTGAACGGGCAACAAGGAACATCACTGGTGCTGTTTCCAAGTTTGGCTAGCACCGCCCAACGCGGGGTAATGAACACCCACAGACCGCGCCGGGGGCGTAAGTAGCGTGGTTGATTTGGTGGATTGTCGTATGATTGTTGGATTATCATTATGATTACCTGCCTCGTTGAACCGACCAATTGTCTTCGGGACCCCATCGCCTCGATTGCAAGTCTAAGCCCGGCCACGCCGTCGAGATCTTGAGGTGATTGTGGATGGCGCGAAAGAAGACTGTGATGATGCACGCCATAAAAGATCGAAAAATTCTTGAGGCATTCTTTCTGCAATTAGGCCCTTTTGCTTTTTCCTATCAGGTCCTTATCTTGAATGCATAAACTAATCTCCACCACACAGGAAGAGAACATCGCCCACCAATAGAAGGGGGTGAGTGAGGAACTGTCGGATCGAGCTGGCTGATCTGATTAACTTACAATGGCTCTCTCGGTCAGAAGAATGGGCGAATGCTACCTCCACAAAAGAAAGGAAAACGAAACAAAAATACCTTTCGTTCCGGCCCAGTGTCGTGGAGCGCCACTCCACCTCAGGACGATCAATGTCATGCAAGCAGAGTCGCATGGCGATCAGAGGTACCGAGGTACCCTGCCACCCTTTGAGAGATGATTCGAACAGAGAAGCAAGGGACAACACCCAGCTCTCCTCAGCCAATGCCGTTTTCAGCTGGGCGTTGCTTTGACTGGGCTTAGTCTAGGCCAAACCTGGCCGTCGAGTTGGCCCGTCCACATTTAAAGCACCCTCCCTGAGGCGGGAAGGAGGGGCCGGCAGTCAAGGGGACGTGGCCCCGGAGCATCAGCCGATGGGGGTCCTGGCCACCCGCGTGCCGTAACAAGGGCTGTGACCCGGCCACCCAGAATCATTGATCCCTGGTTTTGCCAAATGGTCAACAGTCAGAGCCCTCAAGCCAGGTTCTCCCTTCCCCATTCCGCCCAAAGACCCACCATCTTGGCCGCGCGGATAGAAGATTGTGGTGCTCCTCGCTCAACGCCCCAAAACCTACGAAGTACGTAGCGAGGCCTTGGCTTCTTAACCCCGCTGCCCCGTATCTCCATCCCACATAATAGTTCAGTCTCTCTGACAATGCATCCACAGATTAGATGTACTAGCTTGGCTGCCTACCTTGGGGTTATCCAAGACTACCTACCTACCTCTCATTCACCCACTGGGCGGGCAGTGAAAACATCCATGCAAAGAAGGCTAGGGGACAGAGTCCCAAAGATAGAGGAATCGGGGAAAGGGGGAAGGAAGGAAATCCCTCTGTAATGTGGTTTTGAGTCTTTTTCTTCCATGAATCAGCTATAGGTGGGGAGGCCGTGGAAAGGCCGTGGATGCTGCTTTCTTTCAAACATTTAGGTAGACAATTCAACACTGGATTCGTTGATTGATCCACAATCGAGGATCGAAACCAATGAAACCCTGCAAGGCAACATTATCGCCATGCGGAAGGCTCTGCCAAATCTTGATCAAAACTCTTTCGAGATCCAGTGTCATGGAACTAATCCCTGTCACAACGTTGAAGAGACGTTCAACCTTCCACCCTCTGGGCAACGTCCAGCAAGCCACAGGCCTTTTGGCTGTTAAGCCAGCCGCCTTTCTAAACCTTCGTCACCTGAACACGAGCCAGGGCTTGAAGTTCTGCCAGGAGGAAACCGGCGAATGCGAATGCGCGCGGGGAAGCATCTACTCATGTGTTCAGAAATAGCCTAGCTTCACTTGGCTTGATGCTCGTCCACCCTTGCTCACGACGCAAGGCCCCCTTGTCTTTGAAGCTCACCTTTTTTTCCCCTCGGTCTCAGCTCCGACAGGGCGAAATGACGGTCAAAGCGATATCGAATCTCAGCCACTCTCAGATCTTTTTGAACGGAAAAGTCCGTAACAGTGGTAATATGGAAAATAAAAATTTTTCCACGTAGTGAGTGCGCAACCCGGACAAGCGAGAGAGGCTCGCAGTGTACCTGACCACTAGAAATTTTGAGATGATGGAGGTCACCCACTTCACAATTGCTTTCCAGCTCGCCTGTTTATCGTAGTGTACAAAGCTGTAGCAATGCAATTAGCCAACGCTCTTCGGTTTCCTTCAATGAGGCACATCCATCCCTGAATACCAGCGAGCCACAAGCCTGTGACAGAGAACGAGGATGGTCAAAGGGGCTTGGTATGGCTTGTAGGCGCCATCCACTCCATAAGCTTCGCAGAAGCCTAACCGCCCACTTGGCAAGCATCCCCATCAAAGCCAAAAACGCCTCCTATCAGAAAGCTGTCTCACGAGCTGCCTAATCAAGCGGAACCACCACCTGGTGTTTGGGGGTAGGGGAGAAACCGCTCTGCCAGGACAGAGAAAAGAATCTAACGCTTGGGCTAGCTGGATGTCGATGTCTCAAAGCCCAGGTAACACTAGCTCGGTTTAGGACTGTGGTTTCAACTATACCACTGATCAAAAATTCCGCTCTCCCAAATCGGAGCAGGGTGGGGGTGGAGGGATGGGAAACCATTGCCCTCAGTTGAGCGGATTGACCAGTTCGCGCAGGTGACGTTCGAATCTGGTTAGGGATCAATTCCGCTTCGAAAGGCGGCCACGCCCCTTCTAAGTGGCTGGGTCTGAACGGCCGCCTGTTTGAACCTGATCTAGGAAACCCATGAGCCGCCTTTTTTCCCCACGTAACGCTGGCGTCTCACGTTCAATATTATGCAGAATCCGAAAAAATGTATGCTTCACGTCAAATCTTTGTACTGATGCTGAACATCCCTGAAACATCCACGAAAGGATCAAGCATGTCATTCTTCGGGCTGCCCGCGCTTTCCTCAGCTGAAAGTTAAAGGGGAGGAAAACCGCGGCTTGGGCATGACCGACGCGGTCTCCCACGTAGCAACGGTCAACCGCTTCACCTCGTCTCTAGTCCCCTTTGATATGAAAGCCCCGAGGAAGCAATAGAAATAATCACGGTACCCTAATATGGAAGCGGATAAGAACTGTAGCAAGGGAATCCCTCCTTGCAGGGAGACGGACTAGTGACAAGCTGGACCATGGCAACGGATCCGTACGACTATCCTGTCTGCCAGTGATGCACGGTCCTTGCATTCGTCCCACACATGACAACGCCCTGAAAGGTGAAAGGCAGCGGCTTGGTGTGTCAATAGTCTCTTGTGTTGCTTTTACACCTTCTTCCACCGATCCCCCAAATCTCCCACACTTGCTCCATCCTCCGCATGGAACGGACCAAGAGCTGAGAAAGGGGACCGTGAACCAATTGACAATCTCCCGCATCACTGAGAACGTCCGCGAACCCTTCGCTGCTCCCAAGGAGCCGTATCCCAAGTGCGCCATCCGATTCCGTCGAGAGGGAACCCTGCGACCTTATGAGAGAACTACCGGTGTGAGGAACCACTGGCTGAATTCCTCCCTTCTTGTTTCAAACATCACTCCATCAATTGCTCTCCTTTCCTTTTCTCTTCTTGATAGAGCCTACGCAACCAGCCCAGTAGGGTAGTTAAGGCCCACGTCATTTGACAAACCTGCGTTATTGATCAGCCCGGGAAGGTCCGGCCACGATCTCCTATCCCTCGGACGCCCTTGCATCTCTGGCTGCATTCCCCTTTCTTTCTTTGGTTCTTTCTTTCAAGCTGCTTTAGTCTCTTGCCTTCCACCAAGATCGCCACACTCGGTCGTGCCTTACCGAATATTGTTGGTGGAGCGTTTGGGAATTTCGCGTCACACGCTCTTCCTTGTTCTGGTTGTATTAATACCAGAATTCTCACGCAGCTCCTTCTCGTCTTTGAATCTGCGCTCCCCGGCCGCCTTTCGATTTCTCACCGCACTCTGTCAACGTTGGTCCCTCGACGACGTCGGTTAGTACAAACCTAGGCAATCCCAGTAATCTGGTTACAAGAGCCTAAGACCCGGGTCGCCCCTTGCCGCGAGACCTTCGCGGGACTATATCAGTTGTGTTCGTCATTGCTGGCTTTTTGATACTCGAGTGACCCTACGGTTGTCAGGCATCTCGGGCCGCTATATCTCGTCTCGTAGCCTGGAGAATTAAGAACTCGTGTTTGACTGTGGGACGGGCTTTCCTTCACCTCCTAACCTGCCTCGTCTACATCTTCGCTAGCCTTACGACCTAGCAAAGAAAAAGGAAGGACGAAAATAGAAAGTACAACCCAGCTCAGAATACAGCCAAGGACACCAAAGCCACAGTCTCGCAAACACCAGTCCCCAAGGGCCCTAGGAACCTAACGTTGAGCATTTAAGTTCTGAAAGACAGTTGGCGCCCCAGGGAAAATTCCACCACCATGTTCGACGTGATATGGACAGATCCTGACAGGCAACTTGTGGGTGAGCATCGAGCGAAGAAGGAGGTTGTGAGGGAGAAACAGAGGGCCAAGGAGAAAACAGAAGGAGGTTCCCACTCCTCATCGTCAACTAGAGGTTCGACATCGTCCGGGGAGAAGTCGTTCAGCTTTTCGGGTCACGAAAGCTCAAGAATACACCAACTCCATCACAAACAAAGCCGCCATCCACGTCGTATTCCACCAAGACAGCGATTAGCAACCAGGGATCCCGCACTCCTCTTCCCCTTCAATGGAACCTTGATACAGCCCCGAGCCTGTTCACCCTAAGGCCCTCCTCAAACCAGTCGAGCGAAATTGGATTCACTCGCCCTGATCCCCTGCTTGAGAATGAAGGGTCCTTTTACCCTTACTCTTCTGGAGGTATGTCTCAAGATGGCCAGGAAAACTACCGCAGCTCACTGAAATAAGACACCGCAGATTCAAGCACATCGAAATGGACAAACCAGACGGCCATGACGACGGCGTCGGTTTCAGCCCCTCAATCGCGGAATCTGTGAAATCTAGCCACTCGTCCGTGGTTCAAACACTGGGTCCTGCTTCCTTTATCACTGTTAGCACAGAGGTAACTGTAAGTCCAAGGACGCCAGAGACGGACATGACGAGAATGATATCAGAAATCTCGATCTCTTCAGATGGTGTAAAAGACGACGCGACCAGCCCACCGTTATCACCTAGGGCCATGTAAGTCCTTGTGAATGAACTCTTTAGACCCACTTCTTGTATTGACGGCGCAACCAGGACGTTCTCCTCCGAGAGCCCAGACTCGCCAATCAGTCTTCTTGTTCCGACCCCTATACAGCCTTTGTCTCCATCCTGGATTTCCCCTCCAAGCCCAACAATGCAGATGCCTGGAGAGCTCCTGAAGCCTGGAACTACAACCCTCCCGATTCCATGTCAACCACTTCCAAGGGCTTAAGACGGCTCGATTTCCACAACGATATTGGAGATGACAACTCTATGGCCCTCGATCTGCACGGAATGGGTCGGGAGATTGAGATGATGGCAGCCGCAGACCCCACGATCATCCTGCAACGGCTTCGTGAAGTCTGGGGGTTCTAAGGATGTTTCCTTATATAAAGAAGTTGAGATGGAGAAGAAGAGATGGATGCTCTCCGCGCTCCACAACATGGATCCTACCGTAGACACGTCCCGCCCAAGTACCTTGCGAGTCCCCCTCGAAAGGGTGCAAAAGGTGTTGGCACTTTACGAATCAGAGGGTAAGTCATGGGGAGTAGACGACGCCGACGCTCTGTACCAAATTGCGGCTTGCTAACTTTGAGTAGCGGTTGCCACATACCTCGCGGCGACTCACCGGTCAAGGCAACTTTACCATATGTCTTCATCGCCCTTGTCATATAAGCTATTTCCCAACGTCCATCCTCTACAGGTGCCAACCGTTTCCGTGTCCAATTTTCCTGTTGCGCCTCAGCTCTTTGGAGCCGTCTATTCCTTGGCGCTACCAAGTCAGATTTCCTCGCACGATATACCTACAATCTTGCAAAGCATTCGCCGGTGCTTAGTTCGTGGAGGAACGTTCCACATTACCTTGATCGATCCAATGCCGGTGGCTTCCTCCCTCGGACCTCGGATGAGGGGCTGGCTAGAGGATCATCTCCTGCTTAACCTGGAGAGGAATTTCCGTTGCGTAAACCCGTCGAAGCTGTTCCCCATATGGTTGGCGGACTGCTCGCTTCGTGGGGAGGGCAGCACGATCACCACAGCCAAGTTTCTTGCGATCCCCCGAGAATCGTCAGAAACAGAAGGGTCTCCATGAGTCTACTGCGAGTGATAAGGACCTCAAGGCAGAACTTCGGGCCGTCGTCGGGCGGATGCTTTGGAAGGAGGTGTGGGGAGCATTTATCGGGGCAGAGAAATGGTGGTGGGAAGATCCTGCCTGTGTAGAGGAGTGTGCTCAGCTCGGGACGTATTGGGAGTATAACTTGATCGAAGCTGTGAAGGAAGCATGAATATGGAGCCGAGATGCAGGTGCTAACCTAATGTTGATTTCAGTTTGCGAGATACCCCAGGGGAGGCTCTTGGTGGTCGTTTGATCTGGTTGTTTAATACGGTTCAGTCGGATATCTGATGTCCCCCTCTTCTGATTAGCGTTTTTCCCTATGTCCTTCATACAAACATAGTCGATATCTCTTTCTCTATTGGATATGTGGTGAAGAAGAGCTTGTTCCTGCCTCAGGATAGCAATCGTAAGCAGATTGATGTACTTACCTATGACTGATACTCCCAGAACAGCGACGGTTTCTTTTCAACACCCTAGGACAGTCAATGGCTTCTTCAGTCGCCATAAATAAGGAAGGGCTCCGTCAATCTGACAGCAGCCCCTCGTACAAGGATTCTCCCCAGGACCATGTGCTGCGACGATGATGTAGCAGCCCTTGGCGCAAGTTGCAAAGAGCAAGAAGGAGAACTATTCAGGCGGGCCAACTCATAAGAGTATTACCGGGGATGATGCAGCCAAAACAAAATATCATCGACGGCCCTTCCCCACCATGTTCACCTCACTCTCCCGTAATAGCCCGAATACTCTTTCCTTGAGATATCGAGCCGTGCGCCGGAAGACCAGGTGATCATCCACCTTTCGTGCCACATCATCAATGTCACTCAGAAGGAAAGTTGTAAGAACCGGCGCACCGGCCTCATCTTACATCAATGGGAGCCAAGACGTGCCAATGACCCAAAGAAAAAAATCAAGGGGGCGATAAGCGAACCCCGGGCACTCACCGGGCGAGGTTTCCCTTTTCGGCGGACGGTGGAGCGGGGCATCTTGCTTACACGCATCAACATCCGGGGAAGAGGACGGAGGCGGCGGTCCCTCCCAACACAGACACACACACGCGCGCACACCGAGCTGGCAAGGCAGGCTTCTTCACCTAGGTGATGTGCCTTGTTAATTCTTGGAAAGGAGTTTGTGGGATTCGAGGCAAGGAGTTTTGTTTTTTTCTTTTTTTTTCCTTTAATCTTATATTTAATGAAAGATTTTACTGAGGTTTGTGTAGTTTTTTTCTTTTTTCAATTTTTTTTTTTCGTTTAAAAGGTCCGAGACAGCGGCCGGAAGCCCAGGCCTAGGGTTCGGTGTGGGCATTGTGTAAGTGATGCATTGTGCTCTTTGCTGTGAGAAGAAAGGCAATGTTACGCATGAAGAAAGGCTGGGGGTAATTCGATCCGCCAAGGGTGACGTCCAGGGTGAGGGGACAGGCATTAGGGGATTTTTGCAAAGATCGGTGGATGTGCGGTTCCTTGGGTCAAGCGTAGATCACGATAGTTGAATCCCTTGGCTTTGGCGTACCAGCGATCAAAGCCTGGAGGGTTCGCCACCAGTTTCTTGGGGGTGCTGCTAATTCAATCATTTCTGCGCCCTCCCCTCTCTCTGCCGTCTCTCTCGTCGCTGATCCACGCACGATAGGTCGACGTCAACCAACGTCAAGATCACCACCCCTTTGATCATGGTTCCATTGATGTAAGGCCCATGCGAAAGCTGCCAGGGCATTGACATGAGCTTGGCATGGGAGGATTCGAGATTGACAGTGCTACGATCCATACTTGTGGATTAGAGGAGCATGAGCGGAAAGGGGTAGGGTTTACTTTTTTTCTTTTTTTTTCTTTTTTTTTCTTTTCTTGTTCCCCTCTCGTGGTCTTTTCGGAAGCATCGCGTCTCTTGGCCCTGTGTGTATGTGTGGAGGAGTGCGCAATTCCGACACCAATAATATGCCCGCCGATTCCTGCGGCCGGGGACCGAGCGCTGGTGGCGACGGTTGGTTGGATGAACTGCACCAGCTCGCTCCCTCTACACACACGCACACGCACACGCACACCCCCACCCCTCCCCCTTCTTGCACTCCAGCCAACCGAGGAGTGGAAAAACCTGGGAAGGGCTGGTTCCGTCAAAGAGGTCCTCCCGCGCATCGCAAACTCACGGGCCTTCTCATGACTGCCTTTTCTGATGGGGATACCTTTCTTGTCCTCCCTTCTCTTTCACCTCACGGCCCACCAAATGACCAATCCACTAAAGGGAGGAAACTGTTTTGTCCGCCGTCGCAGCACGACAACGGGTTGGGGGCGAGGTGTGCCGTGCTTTCTTCTTTTGGCAGACTCCCTCTATGAATTCGGAAACTCTAGCACCAGTCGGGTAACACTGATTGGGAATGGGTAATAGCAAATCATAGGCCCGAGACTGGCCCTAAAAACTCTGTTTATTTAGATGCCAAGCAGGGAGGCAGATAGAATTGAATTGAGGTGGCACGACTTACACGAACTCCAGGATATTGAGTTGGTGTGGTAAATTTTTGACTAAGCAATTGAGGTCAGAATGCGTGGCGCTTTGGTGGAGAGGCAAGGAGAAAAAGCAAGGGATATCTCCGGGCGCAAGACCAGATGGAAACAGAATCGAAAAACCCCCGGCCGAAGGCTAGTGTCCGCCGACTTCCTTTTGCTTTTTTCTCCCTTCCCTTGCCCTCCAGGGGTTCTGCTGCGGTGCCACCCACCCCTTCCGCAAGTGGACGAAGAAAAGAAAGAAAAAATCACCGATGTGACCGCACAAACCGGAACCAGCCACCCCACTTCTCTTCATTGGAGCTGTCAACAAGATATTCTGAGTGAACAAGGGGATTCATTCTCCATTGGAATGTCGGTGGCTTCGGAGACGAGTTCGAGGCGCTTGGAAGACGACGAGCATCAACCCCACCATCCGGCTGATGGTCGTGACCTGCTCCGGGGATGGGGTGATTTTTGACGCCCGCACAACGAAAATTGGAGGATGTGCTTGGAAGCGTGGCCTTGCATGCCCCTCTTTTCAACTCCCGGCCTTTCTCCTTCAGGCTGGAGGACATGGGAATGTCGCGGGCCGCTGGAGGGAATCCGTTGAGGATCGATTGCCTATTTCCTTTTTCTCTTGCTCTTCGCCTTATTAGATTACTTTTCCCATTCCTCAAGCCGTCGTTCAAGCTCACCCTTTGGGACCCCCTGTCCGCGCACTGTTCCCGTTTCTTCCCGCGTTAGGTCGTGTCAGAAACGTGGGCATGTGTTTGTGCTGTGGTCGTCAGTAGGAGTCGGGTTTTCTCTCGTCAATGTTGACGTTTGAAACTAAGAGACCTTTGGAGGGCGGGGTATCGGCGGAGGGAGATGACATGAGCAAGATGATCGATTATCAAGAAACACTTACGCGCGCGACGATCTCCAAGAAGCCCCCTTCACCCCTCCCCTCTCGCCATGGGTCTTTCAAGAAAAATAAACAGAAAAGAAAGAAATTTTTAAACTCTGCCTTTCGAGAGTGGAGGATCAAGGGGGGCGAGGTACGATCCATGGAATGAGGAATGTGGAATGTGGAATGAAAACTGGAGAGCCAAATGACGAGCTTTGTTCTTTCCCTTTGCTAGTAACAATGTGCACCTCGTTCCTGACCAAGCCTCTTATTGACAATGACTGACAATGCTAATCGCCAGACGGTAGGTCCACATAGAGTATAAGGTACCTATTGCCAAGCCCACTTGATCAGGGATCAAGGTCAAAGAAGAAGAAGGGAAATGGTTGCGTGAGAGGATACAAACCGGTCACCGTAGTGTAGCAATTGAAGGGGTTTTTTATTATAAAACAAAAATATTTTTGTTAGGTTAAGAAGCGACGGGCGACAAAGATCTACGCCAATCGTTCAGAGAGCAAAGAGAAGCAGACAAAAAGCGGGCTTTGGAGCGCAGTTTCCCATTCTGCCCATTCCACAAAGTGATCGATGCCACGAAGTGACCGATGCAACGCCCCCTTTCCCCACCAAAGTTGACCTTGAATCTCTCCATGCTCCTTGGCGATGCGACACCCCAGAATCCCTCCCTTCTCAGGAATAGCGAAAAGGTGTAAAGAATCACCCTCCTAATCGTCTCTCGTCTTGGTAAACACACTAAGTCGTGGATGGGGCTGAGCTGAGTGTGAAATTAGACAGGCATCCACCTTCAATGGACGGCAAGATGGGTCATTCCCTCAAGAAGGCCATGAATGGCCCGCCGTAAGCCACGCGAGACCCGCGGTGCTCGCTTCTGTAATCCCGTAATCCTATCATCAGGAATCACATACCTCCGTGGGGCCCCGAAACTGCGGATCAGATTTCTCTCGCGAGCCCTCTTCTGCCGAAAAGCCAGATCCCCCCTTTCTGTATTGGGAAACAATCGCCGGATGATTCTTGGCTTTATGCTTCCGTAGGCGACAGACAGCACAGGGGATCAAAGACGAACAAGCTCGAACGGTGTTAAAGGCTTGGCGGTGTGCGCTGAGTGTTTCGAAGCCTGCCTCGGGCAGAGGTTGAGAGATCGTCGAGGGTCCGTGCAATGTGTGTTCTCCTCTTTACGCCCACCAGTCACAAGGTCGAAGCCCTAGACTTAGCAACAATGTAGCAAGTTGGTATATTACTGTGGAAAGTGTGGCCTACACGTGGGTAGGCCGGGTATAATCGAGTTGGTGGTATATACATAGAGACAAAAGGAGACAATGCCACCCTTCACACAGCTCGACTAAACATGCCGAGACATTGGTCATTGCCCAATATCGTAACAACGCATAAAAAACAGAAAAAAGCTCCTGGTCATGGCAATGGCCCCTTGAACTCCCCAGCCAGACGACAAATCCCGGGAAGACGGGGGAGGAATGGAAAGGCCCATGCTCATTGTGCAGATCGTAGAAAATCTACGCGTGCAATAGTGCGTAGAATTCGGCGTGAATCGCCTCATGGTTTATCTTTTTTCTTCTTTTTTTTTTCTTTTTGGTTTGCAGTTCGGGGCGCTCTGTCAATAGCCCACCCACGACCCCAGCTCTAGCTCCTCTTTCCTAGTGCCGCAGGTCATCGTCAGACGCAGGTCGGCTCATTTGCAGCTCCGTCATGCTCTCGGTTTCATAACGTTTCGCGTTTTCTCGACGAGAGAATTCCGGTCGAAGAGCGATGCTCTCCTTTGCTTTGGGGAGGCAAGAGCCCAAGTTCTCGGAAGTACGTCTTGCATCCTGTCATCGAGGTAGTAATGTAGATAATGCAGTTCCACAGTCCCTGAAGAGGAAGCACAAAGGCTGCGGCATATTCCAGTCCAAGGATTGACCGGCCGCCGTTGATGACCGAGTAGGCTCGATTAGCGCTTGAAGGAATCCAGGTGATGAGAATTGCCGTAAAGAAGAGAATGGCACACTTGGTGTATGACCAAGCAGCATTATGAGCCTCGAGATTCTTCCTCCGCTGTTGCGCGGTGATACCATTCTTTACAGCCGTAGTTGCGCCAGCCTGAATAACCATGCCTTCATTGTGGGGCTGGTTCTCAATGTCGGCCGAAATCATTACAGAGTAAGCAGCCATACCCTGAGATTGCTGTGGGTTAGACGATGTTGCTACACTAGAGCCTCGGCGGTGACGGTCGGCGACGGCAGATGGCGCTACCACACCTCCGGTGTGGTCAACAACTTCGGTTGTAACACAAACTTCAGTCGTCTTTGCCGTCGTGTAGGCGTCGCTCTCGGTTTCTATGGGGGTGATGTTATGCAGCTGCTTCCTCTTGTTGTAGATTGTTCGACCGGCGCGTAGGTAGATCAACATAGTTGATAGGATGACAAGCCTAGCCGACGCCATCAGTATTGTTGCGCAGCAAAATTAAGGTGATAGACATGCGGAGGTTTTGTTACTCACCAGACTGGGCCATAAAATGTGGCAATTCTCCAAGTCTGCCACTCGGGTGTCACCCAGCACCATAGAGTTGCATTTCCGTACACTCGGTGACCCTCCTTATCTTTCACAAAGATGTAGGTAAACGCAGGGACAAATGGAACACCGTAATTGAACAAAAGATAAGGGATCTCCATCTTACGCAATATGCGAGCATCCGCATTGCGGTAGAAGGTGAGGTAAACATTAATAGACATGGCCAGCGTCCAGAGCGAGTCAGCGGGCATAAACCTATAACACGTTCCAGGTTAGCCTAATCCCCAATCTCGCTCTACACCTCCTTGAGGACCTACATCTGAATGAGGAATGCCTGAAGCTGACAACCAGCGCCATTTGGGTTTGTTACGAAAGAGCGCGACATAAGGGTTGCAACATTCGTCATCAAGTTACCAAAAGATGCATAAAACACCAGGCGGTTGATAGGTTTCCGGAACGCGTGAGAAGTAAGGAATGTGACCATGACAAAGATAGATGCGAGAAGAGATGGCACCGAGCTCACTCTCTCAAGAATGGTGATAGTACGAAGAGTCTCTGGAGACAAGGTGGCCCTTGGCATAAGCGGCGCCGCAAAGGGCGTCGCTGGCGACATGCCCTCGAGAGACATTTTCTGTTATCGGCGTTTCGATGCTTTCTTTCTTAAGAGAAGGTCGTTGTAGTACCGTGTGGATGGTGAAAGCGTTGATGATAGACCTTGAGGGCTGGGGTCGAGCTTAGGAGATTAAGCAGCGGTGGGCATGGGGCAATTTATAATAGCCCAAGGGATGAGGTTCGGAATGATCACCCTGCGGCAGGAAAAGGAATAGAAGCGGGAAAAAGAAAAAACCAACGTCGTCTTGATGCTCGACCGACGCTTTGGAATGGGAGATGGTGGTGTGCATCAAGGTGGACGTGGGGAGGGGACATGGGAAGTTTTGTAAATAACTCCAAATACAAGTAGTCCGAAGTTGTCCCCACTCTACCACAGACCCCAGAGTCGCAACAGATCTTTGGCTTGATGCTCGGCAGGGTACCTGAGGTCCTCCGCACCTTCCTCGAAACGACAGCCTCTGAATCAGGCAGGAAGGTGCGGGACTGCGGGACGCAGTCGTGGAGGGAAGGAACAGGGGTGTATTAGACCGGGACAGGTATTCTGCTCCAAGTCGCAGGCAGAGGGGGTGGGGGACATGGGGGAGTGTTCCTTGAGGCGGAAGAGGGTCTCGCAGAAAGCGGGGAGGCTGAGAGCCCTGGATTGCTCGGGGATGCCAGACAGGAATGGGATGGTTGGGCGGTCAGCCAAGGCTTGATGTGGACACTACTCAAAAATACAGTCACTGAAGGAGGCTCCCTGAGGTCAAAGCAAGGAAGCAAAGAATTGGAAACATAGCAGACTTGCCACGCTCCAACACGCCTCGAGGAGGAAAGTGGAAGCAGCAGCTACTCCTACAAGGACCGGTAGGATCTGTGGCGAGTGGGGAGGGCGAAATCCAGGCTCGCGTTAATATAATGAGAAAAGGCCCGAAGAGCAACACCATCCGGCAAAACAATTCACAAGTACGAAGTAGGCAGCTCAGATAATAACCCTCAACTCCAAAGAGTCGACTGTGTTTCTGGGTCGCGATCGCCGGCCTGGAGGAAGTCTTCAATGTTCTCAACAGCTCAGGAGGGCCAGAGGACATGTACTGATTCTAACCAAGATCCTCGCAAAAATCTCGTTCGCCACCTGTCGTAATGCGAATCGACCTCCCATCCTCGATTGATCGATGAATTCCAGGGAGCTACCGGCCGGAAGTCATGCTTGGGGAGGGGACTTGTGACCAGCGTGCGCCCGTCTTCTGCCATAGCGTTACTATTGAGCTTGGCACAGGAGGGGATGGCGGGAGAATACAACAACACAGAGGGGAGCCAGGCAAAAGTCGAGGGTGTGCATCCCAACTGAGCGTCCAGCCAGGCACGCTCGCGCTCACACCCACACCAAAGCAACTTCCACACGCGAATGTCAGGAATGTGGGGCTGGGAGGAGCCCACAACCAGAGTTCAATGTTCGTTCAACTTGGGCCTATAGCCAGAACGGGAACATCCTGGTCGACGTGCCATGCAGACCACACTGGATAACGTCTGTGTATGTGGGGCCAGAATTCCTCTTAATCCGAATTAGGGATAACTCAACGAGCGATGCGTGCGGAGAGGCTCGAAACCCCTGTCGAGACTTCATGTCCGTGGCGCCAGGGGTCCCTGATCCCAGGCTTGAGCCACGAGCGACCAAGTTTACATCATGTCCGGGCTGCTTCCCGCAAGACTGCAAGGAGGGCCTTGTTGCGTGGCCGAGAAGTCGAACATCCACATCCGTCCGCTATTGTCATCATTCTCACTTTGACAGAACTTGAAAGGGAGGGTTGAGGGCCAAAGACCTTACCGTGTGATTGGACAGAGATACGTACCCAGGTTGGCCACCACGCAAATCTACGAAGTAGATGTAAAGCCGCACACTCCTTCCCACAATCCAAGTGGCCGTCTCGACAAGTAATAATAATGAGAAACTGCGGATGACCTCCCCTCTACACTACAGTTAGCGACCTTGCTTCACTTCCTTATCCCCACCCCATTATTTGACGGTTTATATACCCAGACCAGGCAGTCATTGTCTCGATGGCCCGTCGATAACCCGGCTCGAGGTTGACATTGGTCGAAATCAATTGTCCCACCTCGGTACTCCACCCCTCTTAGGATTGTTCTTATTATCCGACCATTTGATTGTGTGATCTACCTTTATTACCCCAGACCAATGGCCAGGAAGACCGAGGGGAAGATCAGAGTCGCGCCCCGGCACACCCAGGTCATGCTGACGATGCGATCTTGTTCGAGCCATGTCGTGGCAAAGGCTTGAGAAAGATTAAATGAAGAAAGAAGGGAAAAGGCGTAAACCAATCGTCATGACATTGCAGCAAACCAAAGGGCACACAAGCGTTGAACTCGACATCAAGTACTTGCTCTTCTTGGAATAAAAATCAATATTTTAGATCGCCCCTTGATCAGGCGGACGATGAAGCCCTTGGCTAAGCATATTTCGACGCGTTCCCAAAACGAAGCGCAAGACAAAAAGAAGAAGAAGAAAAGAAGAAGAAAAGAGCATACTCTTGGTGTACGTTCGTCGGTTACGAAGTACTAAACCTACCTCGGCGTGGCACTGAAGCCAAGACCAGCCAACGGTCTCAACAGGTCAGGGCTTGCGAACTCCCTTTATCAATTGATCTGATGTGTCTGTCCCAACCTCACATGAACGCCAGCCACGAGGCCCATGCGTCCGACAGTGACGGGATGCCCTAACCTCAACCATGTTGCTCACTAATAATAAAGACCAGACTCCTCCCCAGATCGAGAATCTGGTCAACGAGCTCTCCCCAAGCGAATTCTTGGCAACTGAGAAATGCGGCAGCCAAGTTCAAATGCGATGTAGTGGTAATAATGCGTTGACACCCATGAGAAATGTTCAAGGGAGATACCAATGCATGCTCCAAGTTCGGAAGCCAAGGGCCCAACTACTATACTCTTGGCAATAGTGCCAGATTTCCATTTCAAGTTCGGCCCCGAGTCAATGTAAAATCAAGTCTCTATCTCAGAGGAAGTCAGTCTCTGACTCGAGTGCACGATGGAGGGCTGCATTCACATGGATGCCCAAGGGCTAGTTCAGATCTGTCTGTTGCCCGAAGTCTTGCTAGTAGCAAGATCATCAGCAAAGATGAGGGCGAGGGCAAGATGCCAATAAGTGAACATGATGCCATTTGATCCTCCCACGCTCCCGGCACCTGTTCTCCCTTGCAATCGCAAACATGGTCTTGCATCTATCACCTGCGGGCCGCTCTGTGTGGCCTTTGCTTTCGGCTTCGATTGAACATCCCTGATCCCACATGATTAGGACCACCGCGACAGCCTCCGAGCGCACCCACCACAATCGGGCTGTGCATGATCAAGTGCCGAATCAACCCACCTACGACGAGCGAGGAGGTTGACGAGAACAAGACGCGCACTTCGCAAGCTAGATTCACGGACGGTTGCCAAGACGAGGTCAGAACTCTACATTACAGTATACCATGTCATATGTCATGGCTGCGAGTTAAGGGAGGCGAGAAAGATGGGGGAAGAGGGTGGTGCCCCTTTGGCACTGATGAACGACTTAATGTCTGTTCTTGGCTCGCTCAATGCAGTTGGTTCCGGTGTTATGCTTTGATACGCCCAGACAGACAGACAACCCAAAAAGAAGAAGAAAGATATTGGAGAAACTCAAAAGAAAGTGGAGAGTCAAAGAATGTTCTGCTGGAATGGTGGGGCTGCGCCCGCCGTCGAGGAATTCCAGCCTTTTACCGGATTTGGCACGCTAACACAAGATCAAAGAGTGTGGCGGACAGGCCTTTAATGCCATTCGTGGACCATTGAAGACAAGGACACCCAATGGAGAGTCTGGTGCATACCAGAACTTCCGAATGAAGAGGGGAAAAACTGCAACGTGAGAGTGTCTTCCATGGGGGCGAATGGCCAACCCTCCCAGGAGTCTCGACATCGACACTAGCGAACTAGAGGTCTACGGCCACTATTAAGCAGTGTCTGTCAGCCGGCCAGCTAGGTAAGTTCTACTTGTCATGCTGCTTGGCAATCGGGGCCTGTGAAGGGCCAAAGAACCCCCAACCCCTCTCTATCAATGGCAAGAAAACTGGGGGAGAAATCCATCCGGTCTTCTGCCAAAATGCCGGCCGAGGCTCGTTTAGGCTAACTTGTAAATTTTCAAGTGTCGTCTTGATTCGGTAACAAGTCTCGACTAGAAACCAGCAGAATGTTCCCTCGTCCTCCTCCGCGCTCGTTAGATTCCGGTGGATTAAACTGACCATCCCTAGGCCAATCTCTAGACAGGGAACAAAAAGACTTGTGGCAAGCTATGTTACGTTAACACATCGAAAAGAGGAGGAAAAAGGCAAGAGGGAGCAGACTCCATCTGCATTCGTAGAATCGCGACTAGTACACAAACGTTGGTATCGTGGCTGCTCTCACCCCATGATTCCAAAGAGAAGCGCGCTTGGCAGAGGGCCACGGTTGTACCTCGTAATGACGGGTCGACCAAAGTCCCAGGAAACGGGAACCGACGCATTGAAAAAGCAACCTCGCCAATGTGTGGGCCAACCAACTTGCGTTCCGGGAAAAGAAGGGCAGCATTGTAAATGGATATGACTTTAATATTACTCGACGTTGCTCCGGCAAGATAGCATCGACTATGAGGACCGGTTCCAGCAACCAGCTTCCACCCCGTTTCCGTGCCCTCCCATAACTTTCGTTTAATTGCCCAAACGAAGACGCAAGATGCCCGTTGTTGGGTGCTCTGATATTCCTCATCTCTATTATTCCGTCGAGACCGGCAGCCCATCCTTCGGGACTCCTCCCCTTTGCGAGCAAATCATTCAACTGGGTCCATTCACATATCAGAGCCGCATTTCGGGTCTCAACCCACCTCTTCCCGCCCCGTCTCTCTCAGCGTAGCCAATCCGGCATGGCCAGTTCCTGTCCGGAACCCACCGGGCGGGGACGCAACTTGCCAGCGAACAGGAGCGGGAGACTAGGGTTGTTTGGGTCCCCCACATG